TTATTATGAATTTATGATAATGTACTCTCTGAACTCTAGTTTTAGGTAGTTGAACGGCATGCCAAACTTGAAATCCCAGCTCTTTGTTTGCTTGTTTCCCTGTGTTCCTTCAGTGGTGTCACATGTGCTATAGTAAAAATTTAGTGATCACTGAGAATCTTTTCCTGTATATATATATATTTTTTCAGACTATGGAAGATAAGGTTCGTCCAAGTGAAAATGGACCAAACAACCCATTGGAAGATAGCTCTGAGAAGCTGATACCAAGTCAATCTGCCACCACTATTAAAGGAGTCATGGATTTGCAGCAGCTAGGAACGAGGATTAAAGCTGTCGAAAAGGTGGTTGGTGAACAGATGAAGAAGCCCGGGATGAAGACCAAGACTGTTCATAATACTATGAGGTCTGAAATTGAGGCCTTACTGTCTCAGCACAGTATGGACAGAGAAATATATAAGCTCAGAGATAGGGAGGGAAGTAGGGACGAGTATTCGGACAATGTCAAATTAACAAAGAGGAAGCCCAAACCTTTTGAAGTCAAGCATGGGTCAACAACAAAAGACATCCCACTTGATCATGGGTCAGATTGCTCGCCGCAAAAAAATCGCAGGAGAGGTGCTACTGCATCATCATACAGGATAGATGACCAGATGCTTGAGTTATGGGAAACTGCAGCAGGCTGCAGTCCCATTCGAACAGTGAGAGGGTTGAAGACTCATCAGCAGGGTCATGAACAACCCAGAGAGGGGAATGCCATCTACAATCACCTAAGTGCAGAGTGGAAGAACAAACACCCACCAACAGACATGGAAGTGAAGGAGCTGGGGGTTGATAAACTAGAGCTACCCATGACTGTTTCCCAGCCAGATCAAGGGACGAACGACAGAAGGATTCTGGAGAGGCTTACTTCTGATGCAGAAAAGCTGACTGGCATTCAGGTGACAGTTGATAACATGAGGAGGAGACTGGAGACAACTAAAAGGAGCAGAAAATCCAAAAACGTGGATTACGACACGGTGAAGGAGCAGTTACAAGAAGTTGAGGAAAGTGTTGTCCAGTTAGTGAACTTGAACAGTCAGTTGGTCGAAAATGCCAACGAGGGTTCCTTTGGAGATGCAAAGGAGGTCTCAAATGTGTGGCATAAGAGAGTCACTGAGCAGGCTAAGAAAGGGTCAGAGAAGATCGGACGATTGCAGATGGAGGTCCAGAAAATCCAGTACGTGTTGCTGAAACTGGAGGAAGAGAAGAAAGGGAAAGCCAGAAGCCGATTTTCCAAGAGGAAAACTGGCATTGTTCTCAAGGACTTCATTTACATTGGCAGGAGAGACAGCGAAAAGAGGAAGAAAGAGGCTCATCTCTGTGGCTGTTTTCGACCTTCTTCACGCAGTGGCAGCGTAAGCCACATATGATTCCCTTGTAAGTCCATGTAACTGATAAGTGTTTTTTTGAATGACACTCCTAAGCACCAATATTGTCTACTTCTAATAAACATAGGTTTTGACAGTCTTTTTTCCCTTTCAATTTCTTGTTCGTTTCTTTTGGAACTTGAAATATGTTAGAGAAATTAAAAATGTGAAAGAAACTAGGAGTTGAAAAACTGAAAGAAATTTAAATAAATTGGAAGGGGTGGAAAAAAATTGGAAAGAGTTGGAAGAAACTGGAGTTAGAAGGAAACCGGAAGAAGTTGAAAAAAAATAAAAAAAATGTTGAAATAATTATTACGTAGTATATTTTTTTAAAAAAATATGACTCAAAAATCTAATACAAAAATTCTCGATTCTCATATAGCTTTTTTTTATATTTATTTATTAAACTGTAACACTTATTTCGTGCGTAACTTTTTACACGCAAGTCCAAACTCAACATACTTGTTATTATGTGCAAGAAAAACGAAAAAAAAGAAAATGGAAAATGATTAAACAAAGAAATAGAGACTGTTAAGTTTAAGTAATTTAAACATGAGAAAATTGAAATTTAAAACCTTTAGATCAGTAAAGGGATAAAAAGTAAAAAAATATTGAAAAATGTTGGAACAAAAGAAAAAACACCAAAAGGAAAGATGGGGAAAAACCAAAAACAAAAGAAAAAAGAAAGAAAAACAGAAAAAAAACAAAATAATGAAAAAAAAACAATAAAAAGAAAGCAATGTGTAAACCGAAAAGAAATAAAAAAAAATGTGAAAAAGGAACAAAAGAAAAAAAATTAGGAAAGGTAAAAGGAAAGAAGAAAAAATAGTAAAAAAAGAAAAGGAAGAAAAAAGAAAGAAAAAAGAGAAACGGTAATATAAAGTAGAAGGGAGGGGGTTGAAAAAAGAGGAAGAAGAGAGGAGAGGGGATCTAAGAAGAGGAAAAGAAGAAAATATGGTCAGAATTGAGAAAACAAAAATGTTCAAATTACAATTTCGTCCATTGTAAATGCTCTAACTTCTATTTCTTCGTCATTGCACTCATTAAAAATGAGTTGTAATTCCTTAATTTGGTAGACCACGACATTGGAATCTACCATATTAAAATGAGTAAATTACATCGGTGGTATTAAAATAGGAGTGAATGCGAGATAAATTGAAATTGGAAAAATGATGACTCTATACTTGAAATAAAAAAAAAGAATCAAACCCAGCGGCGATGGACGTCGTCGCTCGCCCGGCCAGCACCCCCCCCCCCCCCCCCCCCCCCCCCCCCCCCCAGCGTCCAATCTGTGCTGCGCCACCGGACGCTCGACCCTCACCTACAGTGTTGTTCTGCTGCTCGCCTCGGTCCCTCCAGTAACGTGACAGATTCTCATTCTCAACCCACTCTTCCATTGAATGCTCTTAGAAAATCCTTTCAAGTCGCGACTATATATCATTCACATTCTCCCACCTGCGTGGAATGTGTTTTAAAGCTAAGTCAAGTTCAAACGCAAAGAGATGAGCATTAGCTATTAATTCTTTGTGTCCATATCCACGAAGAGGCTTTGGAAAAAGAGAAAAAAAGTGACTAGTTCTAAGATCAAAATTGTGGAGCATCCTCCAAAAGAGAATTCTCCCAAGGGGACAATGCCAAGCCTGAAGAGGAAAAGAACCCTTTAGGTTCTAAAGGTAGCGTCACAAAGACAATGTTTGAGGGAAAATTTTACAACTTTGGCATTATGGACCATCATTCTCCACAGTGCAAGAAGGAGAGAAGAAAAAGGAGTTCCATGTCCCACTACATGTCAGTGTTTGAGTCAATCGCGTTAGGCAGCGTTCCGTTCAACTTATTTTTTCTACATATTACTTATTCTTATTAAAATCAGATCAGACCAGACCAGATTAGATCAGATCCAACCAGATCAGATCAGATCCGATCAGATCAAACCAGATCAGATCAGACCAGCTCTAAACAAAATTAAAATTATTATTATTACTATTACTATTATTACCACTGTTATTAGTATTATTATTACTATTACTATTAATATTATGATTATAATTATTATTTCTATTATTATTATTATTATTATTATTATTACTATTCTTACTATTATTATAATATTCTTTATTACTATTATTACTATTATTATTACTATTATTATTATTACATTTATTATTACTATTATTATTACTTATATTATTATTATTATTTCTATTATTATTATTATTACTATTACTACTACTATGATTGTTATTATTGCAATTACTATTAATATTTTTATTATAATTATAATTATTATTGCTATTATTATTATATTATTACTATTATTTTTATTATCATTGCTACTAATATTATTATTACTAGGATTACTATTATTGCTACTATTATTATTATTATCATTGTTACTATTATTATTATTATTAGTATTAATTCTATTATTATTATTATTATTATTATTATTTCTATTATTATTGTTATTACTATTATTATTACTATTATTATTATTATTACTATTACTATTATTTTTATTTCTATTATTATTGTTTTATAATCAATATTTCTATTATTATTATTTCTATTATTACTATTATTATTATTATGACTATTAGTATTATTATTAATATTTATATTATTATAATTATAACTATTATAATAAAAAATTTAACTTTTATTTTAATTTTAATTTCAATAAAAATCATATCTGATCAATCAGATCAAACTAGATTACACCAGATCAGATTCGATTTGATCCTATCAGATCGGATCAGATCCAATCAGATCAGATCAGACGAGATCATATCAAAACTTCAAAAAATCAGATCAGATCAGGCAAACAGATGGCAGCCTTATTCCGTACATTCCTTTTTAGCTGTGAGGTTTACTTTTCGAGCCTAATGTTTGACAAAAATACTCCTTCCGTCCTAGAGTATTCGTCCAGTTTTGACTTTCGGAACTGTTCATCTAAGCACTTTGACTCATCAAATTTTCTCAATGTGTAAGCCTAAATATAGTCATGTGTGATCTTGTTTGATTTGTCTTAAAATATAGATTATTAATATATAATTTCTATAATTTTTTAATATACAAATTACAAGATAAAATGGATTAAAGAAGTGTATTGGATGGTGTGTAAAAATGAAAGTGGACAAATACTCTGGGACGGAAGTAATATCTCTTAAAATATATTAGCAAAAAATTATTAAAAATAATAAATTAAAAGTATTTTTTTATACAAATAATTTGGTATGATTTTCATATTTTAATTCATTATATTTTTTTATATATAGTTAATCAAATGTTTGGTACTCAAATTGAATTAGACAATAAAAAAGGAAATGATGGAATAAAAATCTCTTCGTCCCAAAAAAAAGTTTCTGATTACCGATTTGAAACATCCTAAAAAAGTTTACTTTTTCTTCTTTGAAAAATTTGGAATGACTTACAATCTCTCTCTTTCCACCATCATTTTTGACAACACATTTTTATTTTTTAAAATTTTAAGTCGTGTTGAATTATGAGATTGTTCTGGAGTTGCTAACAAGGCACTCTGTGCTTGCCTTCCCACGCCCCGCTGCGCCATTCATTCATTGCAGGAGAAGCGTCGGACGCCAGTCTCCATTTGTGGCGCTTTTGGACGGGTGGCCATCCATTGTGACGGTCCGATGCGTCCCCCATTTTGCCGTGCTCCTTAGTGCCGATCCATTCCTCTTCTTCTTTATTGATTTTCCTTGGGGCCGAACCTTTCTTTCTATTTCATTTTTTTTTTAAATTTTAAACCCTATAGTTTCATTGTTATATATTCTTTTTTCATTCCTTAGTAATTGCTTTAGCCGATCAATTTTATGCATTCAATTTTTACTTTATTATTTCAATTTTTTTAAAATTTCAATAATTAATATTTAACTAATGCTGATCTTTTTTTTATTATTTTGAATTTATTACTTTTATTTTATTTATTATTTATCTATTTTTATATATTAAATAAACATTTTTATTAAGTTCATATATGTTTTAAATTAAAAATAATGAATATTATACAAGAAATGGAGAAACTAATTTATAAGGATAATAACATTGTAAGATTTCGAGACGAAACTAAAAATTACGCCCTCCGTCCTAAAATGTTCTTCCCACTCACTTTTTTTCCGGTCAAACTTTAATCACTTTCTTTACCTATTTTCATTAGGTATTTGATAAAATAATATAGTCTTGTCACCACTTATTTTGTAGAACTTTTGATGTAGTTTTTAAATATATAAATTTTAATTTTTAATTTTACACCTACAATTAAATAAATTGAATTGAAAATAAAGTCGGTCAAACCTCGTAAAATGAACCGGGAAGAACATTATAGGACGGAGGGAGTAATAAAATATTGATATAATAAGAGTTTGGAGGGGGGCCAAAAATACTGCCCCTGTAAATGCTCTAAATAAATTGAGACGGGCGTAAAAAAAGAGCCCACAAACAAATTCTTTCTTCCAATTACTTCGTTCAAAATCCAACGAATAAAAAGATTCTCTTTCTGAAACATCGTCAAAAGGCCATCGCTTTCTCTTTTGACCGTCGTACACATTCTCTCTTTCTCTGTTCCCTTTTCGCCACTGCAAGTTGCCAGAGAAGTTCAGCAGTATCTCCTCTCTTTCTCCTCCCCCTCCTCCTCCTCGACCTATGCATTCGCCCAGGCCTACGTATCCTCCCGCACTTGGGGGACTGAGACCCGTTGCTTTCTGCTGCTTTTCTTCTTCCTCTTCCACATCTGAACCTGCTCAGTTACTGCTCCATTAGATACCATCTGCGGCGGCGGCGGCGGCGGAAGAAGTTCCGCTATAATCCCCTGTTTATTTCTGTTCCGGACTGTCCCTGCCACTCTAATCGGACGGACGCGATCTTCGCTGTTCCTAATCGGACGGCCGGGACTCGATCGTCAGCGTCAGTGCCTTCCTTTTTATCCCGATATTGCTTTATATAGTGTATATATATATATATATACTCTACAGTGATAATAACTGTTCTGTTTGGACTTGCTTACTGCGTTTTTCAATTGAGTGATGATTAGCTTATTCCGTACGTTACATTTTACGAGTTTTTGAAATCCCATTGTTTTCATGAATTGAGCGGCTTTTATTTGGTTTTCAGTTACTTTTTACCGAGGAATTGACAGTGGTGATTTCAAGGTGCTCTGTTTTTTATTTCACCTTTTTTTTCTTTTTCTCTTTTTTTAGATGTTACTTCCATGCATGGAGAGATTGTTGAGCTTAGTTCTTATTTGAGGTGTTTATATGTTGAATGGTTAATTAGAATTGTTATGAATTTCCTTTGACCTAGATCATTTCAATTGACCATTCATTGGTACAACTCGAACACTTCTCTTTTAGACTTTAAGCAGATGTGTGTTTATTGTAAAGATTTGTGTATTAGATTTAGGAGTTCTCTTTTGGTTGGACTTTCACTAATTTATTGGATTGATTTTATTTTTTCATTTTTCCCTATCACATATAATATTATATTAGTGATGAGTATGATGACAAAATATTTTCTGCTCAGACATTTAATTCATATCGATGCATATATTAGATGTATTTCAAAAATTTTATAATATTCTACTTTCATTGATTGTGATGATAACAGTTAAGTGCATTGCTTAGTTTTTTTATATGGAATTTCATAGGGATTCATTTAGAGCAAGTATGGTTTCTTGCCTAAAATTCACATTAATTGAAATTTTGTGATATGCAGATAAGGATCATAATTTTGGAAGATAGTGTTTATGGATTCTAATGGCCATATTAGGGGTAACCAAAGGAATCATGTTTCTATGCAAAATGGTAACACAATCTGTACAACTTCTGTTGATGAGCTGGATCCGTGGACCGCTTGGCTGTACAAACCTCACACAGTTACGTTGCTGTTTATTGGTGCATGTATTCTCATGTGAGTGACCTGAATGACTACAGTGTGGCAACAGCAATGATATACTGTACTAGTTACACAACATTTTTTTGTGGCTATGGTGTACTGCTGCATTTATAATACTCTATAGATTATTACTCCGTAACATTTTATGGGCATAGCTGCTGACTTTTCATTGTGTTCTTGATTTTTTTTGTTATCTTGGAATATTTTTAGGCTTTGAGTACTTTTTGTTACATTAATGCAGTAAAAAAAAATACCCCGATTTTGCTATATTATTTTCTGTATATGCGGAGTAAAAATTTTCAGAGGTTTACTCATATATTATATTGCTTTTCCTTTTATTGTTGGCCATTAGTTTTGATGAGTTCCTATTATGAAGTTACTTTATTACATCCTTTTTGGTGTTGCATATGCATGGTGCACTGTCTAAAAGGGCGCATTTGTATTTTAATTGCACTATGTTACCTTTGTGCTTATCTTCAGTTGGGTAAGTGGGGCTCTTGATCCGGAACGAACATCAACCAATGATCTAGTTACATCTGTGAAAAGGTACATTCTTTTCCTTTACTCCAAGTCTTCAACAACTCAGTAGAATCCCAAGAATGGTGTCTGGGGAGGGTGTGTTTACGCAAACCTTACCCCCCAACACATTTGTTCCCTTTACTGGCATCAATTTTTTGTCTGTTAACTGTTATTCCAGACAAATTATCTGGGAATTGTCATAACATGCGCTTTCTTTGCTTGTGCTAGGGGTGTTTGGGCAATGATTACAGTGTATCTTGCTTATTCTTTACTACAAGCCCCTTCAACGTAAGTTGTTAGCCATAATGTTAAAGGAGAGCTACTTTTCTCATTGGTTCCATTCTTAAAGAACATCGATTTATACATATTAAGCTAAATGACTAAGCCATATGTTATGTGACTGGTGAAGGGTATGAACTTTTGAATTCTGGTTTCCCAGTCACCCTAAGTTTCAGGATGTAATTTCTGTCTACTGCATTTAATTTATGACAACTTTCTCATTGCAGGATTCTTATTAGGCCACATCCTGCCATTTGGCGTGTAGTTCATGGGATGGCTGTCATATACCTTGTTTCATTAACATTTCTCCTTTTTCAGGTAGTTTCCTTCGACGATATTTAAGTTTTTCTTATTTATTGTAATTGATGTCTATGGGGGGGGGTTAGGTAGAGAGTGCATAATCAAGTGAGAGAATATTTCATGTAAAATGAAGTTCATACGGTGGTAAAACGCACCCTCCTGAGGGATATCAATTGATGATACTGATAAGCACAAAATCCATGGACCTAGCTAAGGTATGGGCCAAATCCACATGGCCATTCCTCCAAAATAATTACATAAAAGTTATTTGTAGCATATTGTAGGCTAGTTCTGCCGACCAGAGGTCAGCTAAACCGACCATGACCACCCATGGTAGACAGGGTCTTCACTCAATGCATTTCCATTCAACTTTATGCTCAAATACACCAAATCTCATTGCCTGGGTTGTGCGCCAAAGCTCATATATGGTAAACCAGGTGGACAGACCCATGCAAACCATCATAATAAAAATGCTAGTGGAAAAAAACCTTAGTCAATGAAAAAGAGTGCAAGCGAAGAATGTTGTCCACCCATGGACCTAGCTAATGTGTGATCTAAGTCCAATGTCCACACTCCACACGACTATTCTACAGTAATTACATAAAAATGGTAATCTTGAAGTACAAAGAGTTATATGGACCGTAGGTTGCTTTGGCCAACGATGGCCACCCATGCTGAAATGGGCCTTCAACGTGTTGCCATCCAATCTTATGCTTGAGTAAACTGAAGCCCGCTGTCGAGCTCGTGGCCCAAAGCCCATCTATGGCAGGCCTAGAGGGCCTAGCCCCTGCCTACCATTTGTACCTCTTTTCCCTACTTTGCAGTTGTTAGCTCTTTTCTATTATATCTCCCGTCCCAAAAAAAAAACTTTACCCACTTTCTATTTTCGGACGTGCCAAAAATTTTTTCTCATTTATTTCGTTTTTAGTAATGAATATGTAGCTTAGAAGTTCTTTCTCTCATTTAAACAAATTCTAACCATACACTTTTCTCTTTTCAACACTTTTCTTAAACTCCATGAAAGTCAAAATGGGTAAAGTGTTTTGGTCTTTTGGAACGGAAGGAGTATTTTTATGAATGAACTTTTCTTGTACATTCTTTTTGTCAATCTGATTTTTCTTTTTATTTTTCAGAATCGTGATGATGCTCGCCAAATCATGAAATATCTGCATCCTGATCTTGGTGTTGGTAACAAATTTAGAATTGTCCTTCAAAATTTATACATGGAGCAGCTCATTTTCCAATGACTATTCATATTGCTGGCTTTACATTTTCTAGAATAGTGGTTTCTACTTTCTAGTGTTACTTAAGTTCGATTATTACTTCCTGCAGAACTTCCTGAGAGATCCTATGGTGCTGATTGCCGAATCTATGTTCCTGAAAATCCTACGAACAGGTTTAAGAATGTTTATGTATGGTTTCTTCTTCCACGACCTTGTAGTTTCTTTTTGCGATTCTTTTTTGCCTTTAGTTTTCCCCCATCTTTTTGTTTGCCCACAAAACAAATCTTTTAAGCCTTGAGGTATCTCTGATTCATTTTATTATGTGGCAGGATACTGTGTTTGATGAGTTTGTTCTAGCCCATGTTCTCGGGTGGTGGGGGAAAGCCATCATGATTCGTAATCAACCTCTTCTTTGGGTGTTATCAATTGGGTTTGAGTCAATGGAGGTGCTAGTCTTTTCTAATCTTCCTTTTGTTTGAGCCATGTTTTTGAAAACCACTCTCTTGGGCATTGTTGGGAGATTACTCTAAATTCTAAATTTGTATTCTTATTCTTCTGCTTTCAGCTTACCTTCCGCCATATGTTACCGAATTTCAACGAGTGCTGGTGGGACAGCATTGTTCTTGACATTTTAGTCTGCAATTGGTTTGGTACGAATCTTGAAGTCTTTCCATATTACCTTCTGGGATATATGTATGTGGGGGCTAATACCAGAATATTTTATGATAGGAATATATGTAAACCCCAATTTCTCTTTACTGCTTTAGAATTTTTATCACACGGCAGATTGCCTCATAATACACCTCTTTTTTAATGGATAAATGTTTGTTATAAAAGTAAGTGAAAGAGTGGTCCTGGTGGCAATTTATGGTGTGGAGTTGTTTAAATTCAAGATAAACATAGTCTGAAACCTCTATGCCCACATCACTACTAATATTGACGTATGTATTAGAATGCGTCTCATGTTTAGTTGTGCATTCCTAAGCAGAGCTAGCAATGATGAATCGATGCATCTAAGAGGTTTCATTTTTTTGTGCTCTATAGGTATTTGGGCTGGAATGCGCACTGTTTCTTATTTTGATGGTAGAACATATGATTGGGTTGGTATCAGCCGACAACCAACGATTATTGGCAAAGTATACATTTCTTCCACTGTATGTTACTTCTACATCTTGATGATTTTATTTTCTCTTCCTCTTAATAATGTACTCTTGGTACATCTTTTGTTTTTTTGCTGGAAATTTATGGTTCACAATTATTTCTTGTTAAACTATTTTACTAATAGCTCAAGATTAAATGTTGCATGTTTTATGAGCTAGAACAAAATCATCAAACACACGGTTGCATGTTTTTATGTTGCCCGAGAAATTTATGGATCATTTTCTTTTGATTAAATGTTGGATTTGTTTTTATGTTTTAGGTCAAGCTAACACTCGGTCAATTCACTCCAGCACATTGGGATAGGGATGAATGGCATCCACTTCTCGGCCCTTTGCGTTTTGTTCAAGTTCTCACTCTCTGTGTTGTTTTCTTGACAGTAGAACTGAACACATTCTTCCTCAAGTTTTGTCTTTGGATTCCTCCAAGAAACCCTTTCATAGTATATAGATTAGTTTTATGGTGGCTGATTGCAATACCGACCATCCGTGAGTACAATTGTTACCTAAACAACAGGTATTTTCTTTACCACAAATGGAACTACCTCCATAAGCATATGTTTGTGTTGGCTCACTGACCCCCTTGTTTCTCTTTGCCACTGTAAATTTTCAGAAAATCGGTAAAAAGGGTTGGACCGTTTTGTTGGCTATCACTTGCCATCTGCATAGTCGAGCTTCTAATATGCATCAAATTCGGGCACGGTGAGCTCCCTATCCTATTTAATTTCTTGTGTGATATGTGGAGTGGGGGTGGTTCCCTTGACATAGCTTAGCAATGTCATGAGATGACCCGGGGATCCTACGGTGTCCTGTTCGTAAAATTGACGGTTCGTACCTTCCTAACCCCTCCTACTCTGCCCCGACCCGAACTACACTCCCACCCCCTTCAATTGCACCCCTAAAGTCAAATAAACTTGGGGGTACAATTGAATGCGGTTGGGGTGTGGTTCGAGTCGGGACGGGGTAGGGGGTTTACCGGGGGGGGTGGGGTTAGGGGTAGGAACCATCAATTTTACGAATAGAGTTTTATAGTGACCCCAACTACATCCATGTCATAGTATGACATGGGGTTCCAATGTCATAGGAACCCTTCCAATGTAGAGTACTTCACATGTTCTTTTTATACCTCTAATGTGCCTCTTGTTATTGAACCATTCAGGACTGTTTCCTGCACCCATGCCAATATGGATAGTCATTTTCTGGACATCAATGGTGGTTGGCCTTGTGATGTTTTTGTCAGTATGGTCATGGCAACTGATTAGGAGAAAGAAGCAATGAATCAATGTAATCTTGTTCTTAGATTTATCATGGCAGTCCATTAGCAAAAGTCAGCAATCAGTCCTCGTATCGGCGCCTAATTCTTTGATTTTTTTTCCCGAGATGTTTTGCTAACCGAGTGTTGTAAATGCCCATTTATCTTGTTATAATTGTATATAATGTTTGTTTTGTGCTATAACTCTTAGGTTATAGATCACACATACACAATGTTTAGAGAACCTCTTGCTCCCCAGGCTACAACTTTGAATATGTTGAGTTTCATTTTAAAAATGCTTTTTGTACATAAAATTTTAAATGGTCATCACTTTTTGTTTGCAAATAGGGTAAGACATGGTACATGCTTTATCTCGGTGTGGATATGGCACTGGCAGCAGGGGCGAATCCAAGTTGAATCATACGGGGTCAGGCGGCCCCATGAAAATTTCGTAATATTATATATATGCATATAGGTATATACTAAAGATTACCATATACCTGGAGTATTTATAAAACACCTTCCTAAAGTATATGGACGAGTAGCCCGAATTGATTCACAGCCATAATGTACCCTGGAGGTCTAGTGTTCGAATTTGGCTAGCGCCCACGCGCTTTTTTTCCAGCATTCACACACTAAGAGCACTGGAAATGCTCATCACACCCACCGGCGTGAACGCCGGTTTTAACGCCGAGGGGCGTTAAACACCGCCCCCCATCGGCTTCATCCGGGCGTGATCTTCTCCGCGTCATTGTTTTGACGCATCCTTTCCCTCCCCCTAACGGCTAATTTACTCGTTGAAACACAAAAAAAATTAATTTTTTTTTATAAATTTAAACTCCCCCTTCCCATTCTCACACATTCAATCTTCTTCAATCTTCTTCACACATTCTTCAATTTCAAACTCTCCCCCTCTCTTTTGAACATGAATCTTTCCGGCTCTGGCTTCTTTCCCGACAATCTCGAGCCTCACGAGTCCGCAATGTGGTATTTCCATGAATACGAGAAGCATCTGCACGATGACCGAGGCGGCACGGTCAATCCAAAAGTGGACGCCAGAGGAAGAGTGCTTATTGGCGTCGGCTTGGGTTGACGTCTCCGAGCATCCTATCGTTGGTAAAAATTATATGTTTTCTAATATATTTATGTTTTTATTTAAATAAAATTATATTTAATCGTGTCATAAAAAAATTTTCCTCTTATACTTTTTTAAAAGTTCGGAGCAAACGAAGGATGCGATGTGGGATCGTATCGAGGAGAAGTTCTTCATGGCGATGAACAAGGACGACTCCTACCGTACCCGGGACCAACTCACTTACAAATGGAGCCACATCAACCGTAAAGTCCGAAAGTTTATTGGAGTTTACGAGGAATGAGCCAGGTCCCGGAGGAGCGGGACGAACGACGCTGATGTTCTCCGGCTTGCCACGACCCGGTATCAAGATGACGGACACCAAGGCAAGGTGCCCATCGATCTTTGGAGGATTTTGAGCCGTTCCCCGAAGTGGCAACAACTCAACAATCCCGACGGTGGATCATCAAAGAAAAGATCCTCCGTCGACGCCGAGGTTGAGGTCGACGACACTATCGGTTCGTCCGAACAAATGCCTCCCTTCAACGTTGGGGATTCCGATGACGAGGACCCCATTCCATGTCCGATCGGAAGAAAGAAGGCAAAATTCATTGCCTCGGGTTCTGGAGGGTCCGGCTCTTTTTCCGTTTCTTCTCGCGACGATATCGGTCGGGCAATGGTTGAACAACTTCGAGTGTGCAATCTTCGAAAAGAAGAGAGGATGAAGCGAAAGGAGTAGGAGATGAAGCGAAAGGAGCAGGAGGACGAGATCAAAATCATGGAAAACAACCTTTCTACGTTATCGGGGTTCAAACGGATGATCTACGAGCAAAGACAAAGAGAGATCAAAGTGAAATATAATTTACCTTAGTTTTTTTATTAATGTATCTTTTTTATTATTATCTTTTTTTTAGTTTAATGAATGTAATTTTTTAAATTTTAAATTATACCGGCCCAAAGTCCAATAATAATTTATTTTAATCAAACAATTTGTTTATTTGAATTATAATTCAATATAACTTTTAGGATATATTTTGGGGCGTTACAATAATTGTATTGAATAAATGAGTGAAAAAGAGTACTACATTATTTCAGAATGAGTATCATGTTATTTTAGAATGAGTACTACGTTATTTCAAAATGAATACTTATGTATTGTGCGAGAATGTGTACTACTTTACTTCAAAGTGAATACTACCCGGGGCTGTACTTTACTTTTGGTGCTGGCGCCTGTACCATATATACCCTGCGATATTCTAAAATATCTAAAAACTTACTCTAGATGAACTTTTCTTTTTTTCATTCCTAGCTCTTTTATTATTACAGAGTATTATTATTAGGGTGTTACTAAATCCACCCAACTTTTGGCTATATCCACCACATTTAAAAGAATTTGACAAGTTTATCCTTATGCTAATTTTACATGTTATTTTTTTCTTTTTTACAGTTTTAGGGGCAATTTTATGCATTCGTGACAGATAAGGTGGATATAGCCAGAAGTGTGGTGGATTTAGCAATGCCCTTATTATTATTATTATTATTATTATTATTATTATCATTATTATTATTATCATCATCATCATCATCATCATTATTATTATTATAATAATAATTATTATTATTATTACTCCTACGTCCTAAAACTTTCTTCTCAGAGCACTATTCCAACTTCACGGGAATTTATATTTATTTGTGTTTTTTCATGGCCTATATGATAAAATAAAATATTTTTGTCACCACTTGTTTTGTTGAACTTTTGATGTAGTTTTTAAATATGTATGTTTTATTTTTTATTTCTATACCAATATTTAAATAAAATAGATTGAAAAAACTTGAAATTTTTCTTCGTTTTGCGCAACGAGGAGAAAGATATAGGACGTAGGGAGTATTATCATTAGGGTTTTTCTCCCATGCCTTATTATTTCAAATGGCATGGATACCCATCCATTTAAATGGTGACATGTGGAGAAACAAACACGCCACTTAAATGTACGGAGTACTCAACAAGTTTTGAAAAATTGTAAAATGCTCCCTCTAAAATTCTAAATCACACGCATCACACTTACTATTATTTAATCCGTCATTTACTCTTTTTTCTCTATTTAAAAAATTATCTAAAATAGAATTAAAACATTTATCTCCAAAATAGATGTTCCATGTTTTATCTTAGAATACGATTTTACACTATACCAACATGACTGATGATGTGTATTGATATTCTACAAGTATTCTTTTTTGATAGTATATGTTCATATTATTGTCATAACTTCTATTTTGAAAATAAAAATAAGGATCTCATATTTTGGTATTTTCTCTATATTTTAATCGATCATAGTTTAGTCTTTATTTATATTTCATAAAAAAAATTTGATATAGTTTTTAAATATGTAAGTTAAATTTTTTATTCATATATGAATTTGTAAATAAAATTATTTTAAAATAGATATGATTTTTCTATTGTTGGAAATACAACAATAATTTTGGGACAGATGGAGAATATAAAGCATGATCGAACTGTAAATTTTGAAATAGAGTAAAAATCAAATAAAATATCAAACTTTCATTATAATTTTTTTTATTGTTTAATATAAATACGGGATAATATTAAAATCAGAATGTACAAGACAATATTTTTTAGTTTGATTGAGTTTCGACAGAATAAAAAACAATTATTATTATAATAATAAAATATTTTAATACATTAAAAATGAGGAGGGGTAATCTTACACCGATTCAATTGGATCACCTACAGTGCTCCGATCCTAAAATTGATTATTTCTACCCCTCTAACCCCTTGGTAAACTCCTCCTAGCCCACATCGTCCCCAATGTGCGCCCGCAACCCCGCCAATTTTATTACATCAAATTTGTGTCTAAAATTTGACCCGAAAGTCAACAAAATTTGGTGCAATGAAATTGTTGTTGGTGCGGGGTGCGTTGAGGACGTGGCGGGCTAGGGGGTAAGGAGGGATAAGTACAATCAAATTTATTATCGGAAGATCTAAGGTATTCCAATTAAATTGGTGTAACAATCTTACACCAATAAAATGGTGTAAGATTATCTATCCTCATTAAAAATTCAATTGAAATTTCATTTATAATTTTAAAACGTATTACTGAAAATTTAAATTTAAAATCCATTAAATTACAACAAAGAGGAGTGAAGATAAATATTAATAAAAACTATGGTGAAATTAGTCTCTAAGAAAAGGGTAGCAATAATGAAACAAATTTGGGGGATAAATTTGAAAATACAAAAAGAAACGAATTATGTGCCCTCATTGAGAAAAAAAGGATGAACTAAAATAATACGGAGTAACATATTAAAAAAGGAGCAACTAAATTAATAATAACGAATGGTAGGTTAAAGTAAATCTACACGGAATATGAGGGTCATTTAACAATATTTCCAAGTGGTGCGTATTTTTTATTCTTAATTAGATTTATTTAAGTGTTATAATCATTTGTCCACATGACAATTTTTAAATGGAAGGGTATCCATTCACTTTGATATAGGAAGGCATCAAAGAAAATCCCTTATTATTATTATTATTATTAAGGTACACCGCAGCAATTTGCAGGTTATGACATTAGTTAACGAGGCAAATTATAGAGTCAATTTCCGCATGATAATCTCTATATACGGAGTAGCTTTCTTTTACTTCGTACTTAACTTACGCTCGTGTCAATCGCCACCATCAGATCATGGCTGCACCGTCGTCGTCGGCGTGGGCGAACGTTATGCTAGCAGTCTACGAGAAGAAGACGGTGCCCGTGGACCTCTACCGCCCTCTTCGAAACTACATCGTGATCAACTACTCCGAACGCGAGGCTCAGAACCTCGAGGACGACCTAGAAACCCTTAAGCAGCTACGCTCCGATATCGAGCGTGGTCCCTCCGACTCTCTACCTGCCCGTCGCGATCTGCTCCAGAGTTACTTTAAAGCCCTGTGCGCTGTGGAGTCCCGTTTCCCCATTTCACCCGATAAGGATCATATCAATTCGGTGACGTTTACCTGGTACGATGCCTTCAAGAACAAGCTGAAAGCTTCTCAGCAGAGCATTCATTTAGGTATATTGAATTATAGGTTTTGTTATTGGTGACACACTTTGGGGTTCCCATTTGAATATTGATGATTTTATGGACTATGTGCATCATCTAAAATGAATTTTTGATATGCATCAAATGCACTTGTATCTAACTTCATTGAGAGCATTTTTTCTGTGTGTTGGATAAATGTTATGCATTTTCTCAGGGCAGGTTAATTGGCTGCTATCACACACTCAGTTTATGTTTTTTAAAATACTTTTAAATTCTGCAGTATTGATTTTGTAGTTTATGGTGAAATCAATTACTATAGATTTTTTTAGGAGCTTCATTGACAAGTCTTTCCCTTAATAGAAAAAGCTGCAGTTCTGTTTAATTTGGGGGCAGTTCACAGTCAAATTGGGCTGAGTTTTGATCGATCATCTGTTGATGGGAGAAGGCAGGCATCACACTCATTTATTGCAGCTGCTGGAGCATTTGCTTTCTTGAGAGATAATGTGGCAATGAAGGCGTCTATGGGGAGCTCTACCACTGTGGATGTGTCTGCTGAGTGTGCTGGGATGTTAGAAAGGCTGATGCTTTCTCAGGCTCAGGAATGTGTATTTGAGAATACAATTGCCAAAGGAAGCAGTCCTGGGGTCTGTGCAAAAATTTCTAGACAGGTTGGCATTCTGGAGTAGATTTTTATTTTGTGGTTGATAGGTTTACATCATCTCCGATGGAGTCAAAGATTCACTAATTTTTGGCTTTGGGGTATGATAGAATAAAGAAAATTGTCTCTTTAAACTGTCTGCTACTTCTTTTATAGTGAAGTAGCATTTAGTCAATGCAACTTTACCCTCACCATGGGTCATCTAGAAACTGTTCCTCTTTGTTTTAAACATAGGGGGTCAGGTTTGCGTACACCCCTTACTCCGCAATGGGCAGGAGCCTACGAGGCACTGGGGTAATGCTGTTGTTGCAGGCGTTGTTAGTAATTATGAAACTTTTTTATGAAAACTTTAAAGCATGCTATGATGTTATTATGTTGTGCATATCACCACATTTTTCATAGCCTTCTATGCCTTTGTTTTGGAGCTGCCACAGTGGACTGCATTCACTAGGCAATTACTTAAATGGTCTAACCATAAGGTACACGTGATTATAGGTTGGAATCTTTTATGAGGAAGCTTTGGCAGCTTTAAACGTCGTCCCTCTTAGCCAGCACTTTGAGAAAGCATGGGTAGCTCATGTTCAGCTTAAGGCAGCTTTGTTTTATGCTGAAGCTTGTTATAGGGTTGGTTTAGAGCTCCATGAAAAAGAAGAGATAGCAGAGGAGATTGCAAGGTTGAAGAGTGGGATCAGTGTTCTCTCCGAGGCAAAAAGGACAGCACCAAGAGGGACAACACAGCAGCTATTAGATGCAATCAACAAATTAGAAGTCAGCCTTAATCAAAACTTGGAGATAGCTGTGAAGGAGAATGATAGAGTCTATCTTATGAGGGTTCCTCCTGTCAGTTCTTTAGCTCCCCTTCCAGCCTTTTCAATGGTCAAGCCTATGCCCATGAATGAGGTGCTGGATGCAACCAAGGAGAAGATGTTTGCAAGTCTTGTTCCTGACAACAGTGCAAAATCTCTTTCTAGATATACAGAGATGGTTGATGATGTTATCAGAATTCAAGCTGAAAAACTTCAACAGGGTAGTGAACTTGCTCGAGTGAGGCTCAAGGAAATGGACTTGCCTGATTCAATTCTTGCATTAGAGGGAAATATCTCTATGCCTATAGCCCTGAAAGAAGAAGTAGAGGCTGTACAGATTTGTGGTGGCGCAGCTGGTTTGGAAGCCGAGCTACAGCAACTCAAAGATCTAAGTACTGTGAACCATGAACTGTTGGTGCAAACTGAGGAGCTTTTGCAAAAAGAGGCAACAGAAGATGCAAAGTTCAGGAGCCAATTTGGAACTCGATGGACTAGACCTCAATCAAGTACTCTAACAAAGAATTTGCATGACAGATTAAACAGGTATGCAGCAAATTTGAAGCAAGCTGCAGAAAGTGATGCTAGAATTGAGCGGTCTGTGAGGGATCATGCAACACTCTTGTCAATCCTTGACCGCCACCCAGTATGTACACGTGCAACACCTTAATTATATTTTTCACCTGATGAGTTGGAGATAAAGTTCCTAATATATACGGAGTATTAGGTTGACTTCTCTTATTTATTTATATTGCTCTTTGTTTGTGGTCCTATCTTGAATTCTATTGAACCCCAACTTTGAGAATTATAAAACAGTTAAATAAACTAAAGGGAAATCAGGATGCTATTCATCCAAAGTGTGTGTGTGTGTGGGGGGGGGGGGTTTGGACAGTAATATATTGAATTATTTTCTGGGATCAGAACGTAAGTATATAACAACCCTTTGGGGGTGATTACTTGGAACATACTACCACCAAGTCACAACCATATTAAGGGTCTGTTATCTTACTTACTCTTACCAGATCAGATTAGACCAGACGAGATAAGATCAAAAACAACATTAAATTTAACTAGAATTAGATCAGACCAAAATCAGACCTTAGTATCAGATCAGACGAAGAGAGCAAGTTCTGTGTAGCCAAAAATATGATGTGGACTCGGGTTTAGTACACTTGAAGTCTTGTACTAATGGTTATTGTCAGTAATTGGTCTTAAAAAATAAATCATACTTTCCATAACACCGCACCCCATGCTGCCCCAGTAGCTCATCCATTGGAATAATTATGCTGTTTTGGAATAATTTTGTTGAGTTGGAATTAATTTTTAAATAATTAACTATTTGGAGTAACCACTAGTACACTAGTGTCGTACGTTTGCTCAAAACCGGCATCCACGTCTTATTTTTTGATTGCATAAAATGATAGAGGTTCGGTGGTAGTATGATTCTAATGATTACCCCAAATTTTTAAAAATTGTTATCCTATAGAACGATTCAGTATGTTATTGTCCCATCCCTTCAAAGGTTGGATTGATAACGTCCACTTTCCCTGAAATAAATGGGAAAAGATTAATGTTATGGGGTAATTTGTCTTGGGACTCCGGTATAAGAGGGGGTTAGGTGTAGAGGGGTGCCTTAGTAGGTTTGTATTTTTTGTGTTGTTATTTACTCATCCTCTCTTTATTCCATTCTATCACTACTGTCCATCTTTTGAATCTTCTAGCCTATTTTTATATTTTCTTGAGCTGAGTACTTGTATGGGGGGATAAGGTCTACGTACACCCACTCTCCGCAAACCCCACTTGTGGGACCTTATTGAGTTGTTAAAATGATTTCTGTCTCATTTTATGTGTTCTACTTTCCTTTTTAGTTTCTCCCAACATAACACCCACTTCCCCTACACAAACACTGTTGACTTTTCTGTTTTTCCTAATCCATCCTTCTTACCTCTTAACTTTTTAGAATGATTTGACACCATAGGAAGACCCATGTCGGGGACAATTTTGAAAAGTAGAGATTACACCATATTTCATTTATCTTCTTTAAAACTAAAAACAAATGTCTCCTGACTTTTGCAAAGGAGGACTTACAAATATCAGCTTGCTCCAAACCTGTGCTGTGTTCCATGCATTTATTTGATCCTTTGCCTAAGTTTGTTGGCTCTTCATAGGAAACCCAGGGCAAAACTTCATAACTCATTTAGACAAGATCAGAGTCTGTTTCTGGTCAGACCAACAAATACAGTCTGAGTAAAGAATTTATAACTAGCCAATTGAATTCATTCCTGTTGTAGTTTTTTTGTCTGCTAATCACTTCATATTTAACAGAGTCTCAATTTGACTCTTTTATCTCTTTATCACTGAATTAGGAAGTGCAAAGTTCTTACTCGTTCATTCTGCTCTTTGGTAGATTGAATCTGTTCTTCCATTCCTGGCAAGACCAATTATGTCTCTGGATGCCAATGAAGATGCTACTGTAGGAGTTCTGAAGCAGAGCCTGGTGATTTACTCAACTGACTGCATATTTTTCTAAATCGGGAGGCTTCCAAAATTCTCTTGTTAAATTTCTTGTTAACAGGTTTTCTGAGTTTATCTTACAATAAAATAACAGGTGATGCAAAATGCTTATGTATGTCACATGTCTGAGAAAATAAGAAAGAATATATTATTGTACTGATAATAGTGAGTTGCTTAAATCGAGAAAGATATATAATATTACATAATTAGGTAAGTCTACGTGTACACTAGGGTTTCCATATTTGAACAGCGTACAATATCTCTAGATGTCACACGCACACACGCACACACACTAGAATACCTGTTATGGCAGATAATTGGTAGCACATATTTTCAAAATTTCTTATACTGCCTCCATCCATCAAAGAACCCCCAAATTGTTTTTGGTACACTTATTAAGATTTTAGAATAATGATCTTTTTTTAATTCCATCATCTCTGATGGAGCCAAAAATTCACTATTTTTTGGCTTTGGGGTGTGATGGAATAAAGCAAAATGGATCTCTAGTCTGCGCTTCTTTAATTAATGAACAAGTTGAAAAAATATTGTACTTTTAAACATGTTTTTATAAAAAAAAATCATACTCCCTTTGTTTCAAAATTTTTGTCTCTTTTGTTCATCCCACTATTTTTATCTCATACCATATTGAGTAATATTTGTGTGATTTACATTCATTTTTACTTTTTAACATCAATATCAACAGCACAATTTTAAGTTTCTTAATTTGCATGTCACTAACCTATGTCCAATCTAATCTTTTTCAATCTAAATTAAAATCATATGTTCAACTTGAACTTTTTTATATCAATACTTTGGTGGATATGTCTACCAAATTTATAAACTTCTATCATGAATTAAAATACTCCCTCCGTCCTAAAAACAAAATGATGATTGATTGAAGTTACTACGTATTTTCAATTATTTTATTTGAAAATTGGTGGACAAAAAAAATATTTTTCTATTTACAAAACTAAAGGTAACATGACTGGTATCTTAGCAAATGATCAATGAAAATATGTAAGGAAGAAGATATGGTTTGACCCTGTAATAGCACCTTCAAATTTGTTTTGGGGACAAGGGGAGTGTTATTTATTACTCTGTATAAATTTTGCATTTAGTTTAACCAACAAGGTTTAAGTGACACTAGACTCCAGTATATTATGACACTGGCTGTTTGAGGCTCCTACAGTGCTCCGGTCGACCCCAAAGTCAATTCTACCCCTAATCCCGCCTCAAACCCCCTAGCTTGCCCCTTGCCCCCACCCTAGCCTCTCTTTCCTTTTGGTGACAATCCACTATCAAAATTTTGAGAGTGGGTTACCCAAAGGGAGGGAGGGGCTAGGGCAGGCGAAGGGATATGTTTGAGAGGAGGGGGGGGGGGGACAACTTTGGGGTCGAATGGACACCGTAGTGGGCTCAAATGGATCTGGTATCGTATAATGGCACTCGGATCCTGTGTCATTTGAACAGTGGTGTAGTTTAGTTGCTTTATTTTATTCACATTGATATTTAATTATAATACTAGTAATAATAATAATATAATTGTAATAAGAACAATAAAATAAAAATTGCATGCAAATAGTTTTCAATTCATAGTTGGAAGGAATTGAAAGAACTAGAGAAGTTGGAAGAAGGTGAAGCAGTTGGAAAAAATAGAAGGAATAGGACAAAATGGGAGGAGTTGGAAGTCAACAATTCCAACCCAAAAGAACAGAGCCGTATTCAAAAGCATAACAAATTTGAAAAACATGGGTAGCATATTGGTGAAGAAGTCAAACATTTTTTTCCTCTGCAAAATATGTGCCACTTTAAACGTAAATGTGCATTGTGGTGCACAAAAATGCACCATTTTTCGTTTCTTAGGTTAAGAGATTCTCATTGGCTTACACCCCACACACTCACTGGGAATATTATATCTGTCAAAGTGCCTCAAAAAAACAATTTAAAAACTTACATTGCATGTATTTGCAGAGGCAAATAGAGAGTCTTGGTGCTCAAAGAGCTGGTCTTGAAGACATGCTGAAGGAGATGAAGAGGAAGGTAATATCAAACTGCTGGGTCTTGTTCAAATAATGGCTAGCTTAGCTGTTGCATGGCTTTGGTTCTGGGAAATAAGCAATATTATTGACTCTTGTGGCAAGAAGGTCGTGTTAATTGTTGTGAGGCATATATTCATTGCTGTATTATACTCATTGATATATCTACATATCCTCTTTTCACATTTCCATCACAATCTCCATTCACTTATGTAGTTACATTTGTTGACCATCTTTTTTCAACGTATGTAGTCATGGTACTTTTATGATCTTTATAGAATGTCCTAGGCACTTCCGTAAACTGGAAGCAACTGTCACTCAGGGGTTAGTTGCACACATGTCATATCAAATGCAGCATTGCACCAATTTTATATCCAAAGGTTGTGCATTGCAATACTCTACAGAGTCTTCTTATTTTACTGGTCGGATAAATATTCATAAATCAAATTAAAATGGCAGTTTGGCCGATCATAATATGAACAACTTGTGAAAATTTATGCACTGGTACATGTGATCTATAAGAGATCATACAAAGGTGTCAAAACTGGCAGGCTGTTCTACTTGCAACATCGTGTTTTCTTAAGTCCTCAAGAGTCTAAGACTAACGAATACATTCTTTATGGAGTCTCTAGGNCCCCCCCCCCCCCCTAGTCTCTTGAGTATTTGATACGAACAGGCTTGCTTTATATTTGTTTATTCTCAGGTTCGTGTCTTTTGATAACAACATACCCAGTAATATATACTATGTGGGTTCTAGGGAGGATGTGCACACAAACCATACCCCTACCCGAGGAGTAGACAGGCTCTTTGCAAGAGACCCCGTCCCTCATCTCAAAATACAGGAGCACACGATAAAGGAAAGTAGCACGAACAAAGTAAGCACAAAAATTAAAACAAATACACATGCAGAAACTACGAGCATAGGCCATAGGCACAACATCACACAAGTAGAAACTACAAACTGAGGCCTAAAGGCCTTCTACACTACCACTCTAATCCTAGACCTCGAGTCACTCCTATCTAAGATCATATCCTCGAGATTTCTGCCTTTTGATTTGATAGATAATTTATAAGTTTGAAATTTCTTCTTTATGTATTTTCCAGGATGATATCTTGCCCAAGTTAATGACATCTAGTGGCTCCATTGAAGATCTTTTTAGAAAAGAGATTGGGAAGTATGACAATATTTGTGAAGAAATTGCAAAAAATCTTGAGGCACAAGAGCAGCTATTAATACAAATTCAGGTATTTTTCTAAATCTTTTAGTTGACAAATTTTTTATATATATAATATTTGATACTGTTCATGACTCTTTTTTTCCATTCCAGGCTCAAAATGAGGATTTTGCCGCAATCTTCAATCTCGAAGACTATAAAGGTATGGAGTTAAATTTTGTGCTTCAACTATGGATGCATGCTTAGCATTTCCATGATTGTTATAGTTTGATACCCCAGTGTATTATTGTCTTATTATACTTATGTCCCATATGGATTATTGTCTCGAATTCTCAATACTAGAAACCTACATAGTACACAAGAATTCATCAATTCAATGACTGAAATACCAACAAAATTCTAGGGAAGTAATGTGTTTCAGTTTAACCACAGCTCCTTATTCATAGTATTGAAATATAGGAATATATGTGCCAATGTTACAAATTAAACAATTTTAGGATCTTGAAGAGACTTGGTACTTTGTAGAATATTATCCAACTGGTTAGCCGAGAGTTGACAAAGCTTGTAAGAAATCATTTTCTCATGAAACAGAGGATTCAAAGAAATGTTACGTGAATCTTAAGTGTTATATACCAATGTCATCTGTGGTAAGGTGTCATGTCCATAGTTACAGAATTCGTTTACCTAGCCGCGATTTCCGAATTGGTACGAATCGTACCGGATCGCAAGTCGCCGGCGATCCGATCGCCACCGGTACGGCGATCCAAATCGGTGTGGTACGGCGCTCCAATTCGCAATTCGCCGGCGATCCAGATGCCCTAGAACGTCGCACCAAGTCGGAGAATATGGAGTACCAATCGCCGGCGGTCCAGCGATCCAAATCGCAATTTCGTCTCTCCCGCGACCTTCCCTCTTCCAAGCGATTGTTCTCTCCGTAAACTGAAAAGGTCAATTCGCGATTGCACTTCCCCAAGTTCCGTGCGAGTCGTTCATAGTCTCCGTGCGTTTCTCGATTGTTCTCTGACTTCTCCCCTTAATGTTTCGTTTTTTCCAAGGCAGTCTCCATATATATATATATATATATATATGTCTCTCAAGTCTAACCAGTAACCACAACCCAATCTAAAGTCCTCAATATCCAGTAATTTTTTCTCTCTTTTTTCAATGGCTTTTGGCAAAACTTATGTTTTGACTTTTGGTACACCGAACCGAATACATGGTACACCGTACGTCCGTACCGCTTCGTACCACTTCGTACCGAAATGAACCTACCCCCCTTCGTACCGAATTCGTTACCTCTAGCGAATTTCGTACCCGTACCGCGTACCCGTACCGAAGCGTACCGCGATTTATGTGACTATGGTCATGTCATAATCCCTGAAGTAGATGTTTCACTCATTTAAACTCACGTGTGTGTAAAGGCATGTCACAAGATTTAGCTTCACTTGATCTGACAATGTTCTGCTTCTTTCTTTTCAATCAGAGGACATTAAATATATTCAAACGTAATTTTGAGAAAGTCATGTCTCTCTACGGTGGACCTTGTCCAACAAGCATTGGAATAGTCATTAATTTGGGTGTGACCTTTATCTTCTGCACGCCTATGATTCATGCCCCTCTAATTCATCTGGATTTCTTTTTTGTTTCCTTGAAATGTTACAGCATCCCGGGAGAAGGTTTACAAGCAAATTGAATCTGCGGTAGCAAAATATCGAGAAATCAAGGACAATATTAATGAAGGCATGAAGTTTTATGTCACTCTTCAGGTATTAGTTCTTTTAACTATTCATTTAAACTTGTTATCTGTCATGATGGTTAATCATTCACTAATTTAACTTAGAATCAATTAAGATTTCACAAGACTAAATGTTTAGGATTCCTACAAAGTGCAATGGGATAGTAGCAGATTTAAAAGTTAAGTAAAAGCAAACACATATATTTCCTATATATACAAGATCTAGATTACTTGCATAATAGTGGGAGCAGACAAATAATAAGGTGCAAGAGTCAAAGGTTCTTGGGAAACAACTAGAGTCAAGTCATCCAAACTATTGCGTAAAATGCTTCCCAGTTAGTCACTTCACTTTTGGTTAGTGCCTACACTTGCACGCGAGTGTGAGCTACTTGTCATTAAGACCCAAACTGAGCCACTTATCTTTAAGATCTAACTTGAGCCAGTTATCTGTTATTGTTGTTGTGTGCGTAATAGTGGGATTCAAACCACTTGTAAAGATCTCTAGTAAGTCACTACACTTGTGCAACAACTCGAGAACATGTCGGCCTTGACAGGAATATTGGCATGCACATGCTTACCATTTACTGCTAGACTAACTCAGCAGAGGAATCATTATCACTCAACTTATCGAAGATATTTTGAAAGAGATGAACATGGTACTCAACATATGGCTTGTGAAAGAGGCACATTACCTAGAATGGTTAGTCAATATCTAAAGGACCAAAAGGGAGGGTGTGTTTGTATACCACTGATCTCAACAAAGTTTGCCAATGAGATCCTTTTTTTCTACCAATCGTTGACCAACTAGAGGATGAGACATGGATGAGATTACTAGTTCTCTTTTTTAGATACTTACAAAGGCTAAAAGTTATGCACAATGAGGATTTGGAAAGGGAATCTTTCATCACTAGAGAGGTATTCTATTTATTGGTGATGACGTATGACCTAGAGAACTCCACTGCAAGTTAATCAAGGATGATAGGCTGATAGCCATTCTGTTCTGAGCTGCTTTAGAAACTACGGAGAAAGTTCTACTATGCTTGAACTATGAAAAGGTATTTTGCTGTAAAAGGAAATTCTTGAGGTACATTATGACTGGACATGGTCACATGGATAGAGATAAACTTGAAGAAAGTTAGACCAATTTTGGATTTACAGCAAGGTTATCACAATGCCAAAGCGAGGGTGTGGCGGCGCCTAGGCGACAATTAGGTTCTCAATGATTACCTTAAAGGAAGTCTCAATAATCATCGAGAAAGCAATCATATAAAAGGCTCTCATTTCTATCATTATCACGCAGTAAAACACTCAATTATGGAAAAACACAAATTACAAGATCAGAATATGAAAAATACATAAACACCACAATTTTAATTATAGATTAATTAAAAGAACTTGTACAACGACAAACCCAGTAAAATTCTAAGTGGGGTCCCTGGAGGGTGGGTGTCTGCAAATCTTACCCATACCTAGAAACTATAGAGACTTCTTCCAAGAGACCCCCAATTCAATATACAAAACCCAGAAAGAACCAAGTGAACAAATACAAGAAAATAAAAGGAAAAAAAGAAATTGAGATACTGAAATTTAGAAAAAGAACCAAGCACACATCCTAAACAACAAGCTTTACACATGGAAAGGCCACTCCTACATAGGCCTAACATGCCACCCTAATCTTTGACTTCCACGGGCTCCTTTTTAAAGCCATATCCTCGGTTAGTTTCTGAAGTTTTAAATCATGTCTAATCCCACAAAAGTAAGGTCTGGGGAGGGTGCGGGGGTGTGTGTATGCAGACCTTACCCCTTACTCAAAAGTAGAGAGTTTGTTTCCAAAGACCCCCGGCTCAAGCACCACATGTAAGCACGTATGCAGCCTTACCCCTATGGCTCTATATTTAAACATAGAGCGGTTGTTTCTGGATGACCTCATGTTTAGAGAAAGACGCCTTATGATGATCTTGTCATAAGCCATATGGGTTTCTCAGTTATGGCGCAAGAAGGCGTACCCCATGAGGCATACACAACGAGAAGGAGGCGTACACCATTTTTCAAAAAAGAATTAAGATTAAGGTTAAATTAGTAATTTAATGAGAAAAATTTAAATTTTAAATTACTAGACCCTAGTCTATCTACCCATCTAGTCCCCTCTTCGCCTCTTCGGTCTTCATCACGTTCAGCTTTGTGTTCTTCATATGTGACTTCATTCCTCTTCATGAATTATATCAAGTATTTATCTGGACCTACAATGTTTTTTTATTTATTTGGTTTTCTGGAACAGGATGCTATCACAAACATAAAGCAGCAGTGCAGCGATTTTGTGATGACTAGAAATATTCAATGCCGGGAAATGATTGATGATGTTCAAAGACAAATTTCAGGTCTGAGTTTTAAGGATGCTAAAACATCAGGTGGCTATAAATACCCTTCAGGTGGGCAACCCCATACTCAAAGATCATCTCCTCAACAGACTGACCCTGCAACTGTCTCCAATGCAGTTCGACTCCAATCTCCTCCACCTTATCAGCCTCAGCAGCAGCCAAGTATCCATGGATATGCCCAAAATCATCCTGCTTATGGAGCACCACAACAACCACCACATTATCCTTTGCAAGCTTCCGGTCCCGCATACCCACCTCCTCATCAACAACAACAGCCGCCTCAACCTACTTATCCTGGGTGGCATAATCCGTACCATAATGTCCCTCCGCAGCCAGGGTCTATGCCTCCACCTCCATACACTATTCCTCGATACCCACCACCCAACCAGAGCAGCTATTATAGACAGTGATTGTGATTTTCACTTTCTAGTTTCCTCCTGGTGTATTGATTCATCGGTTGAATATAAAAAGAATGCACTTAATACAAGAATTTCAAAGAGTGGAGGCACATTTGTTTGCATAATGCTCTATGTAAATGAGTATAATTCATAGTTCATGCCCATTGAATTTGGAAGTACTTGTTGTATAGGGTTTTCTTGTTCGATCATATATTGATTTATGTTCCTTAAAATTCGTTATGCACTGTCAAGCCCCAATCTGTGTAATGTTTTGCCATTCTGGAATTCCAGAACTTGCTTTATGTATCTTTTACTGATGTAAATGAATCATGAAAAAATAATAAGTTTATTGGTAATTGATCATTATATTTCCATTTATTCAATGACTAGTCATATGCAACACACACGAGTCGATGACTCTTTATCTATTTATGAAAGACGACAAGGACTATATATGCATATAACTCTTGTTTTATTTGTAATATTGATTTATAAATCTAAAAATTACTTAAAAATTTAAAATAAAATATTCTATTTAATTTAATATGGAGTACATATTTTTGATAATTCAATTTTATTCAATGCTAAATGCAAGTGTTAATATGAAATTAAAAATTGTAAAAATAAAGAATACAACCCGTTGGATCGACCGACCTGAATCCGAGATCATGAGTATGCGATTTTCAACTAAGATCAGAATTGATCCGAACCGGACCGACGGCTATAGTTACAAATACCTTTTTTAAAATCCAATTGCTTTGTTGTGTTGAATCAAAACGAGAGTTTTGCCCAAATTAAAAATTTTGAAAAAGTTAATCCCCTTGTCCCTAAATGGATTTACCGTATGATTACTTTTGTTTGTTTATATATTTTCGTTGATTATACTACCTCCATCCCACTCTTTTTGTCCAGTTTTGACTTTTGGAACTGTTCATCTAAGCATTTTGACTCATCAAATTCTCTCAATGTGTAAGTCTAAAAATAGTCATGTATGATCTTGTTTGATTTGTCTTAACATATAGATTATTAATATATAATTTTTATAATTTTTAATATATAAATTACAAGATAAAATGGATTAAAGACGTGCATTGGATGGTGTGCAAAAATGAAAGTGAACAAAAAGAGTGGGACGGAGGGAGTATTTGATAAAATAAAATATCATTTTACAATTTATTTTGTTAAACTTTTGATGTAATTCTTCAATGTGTAGAGTAATTTTACAAATGCCCATTATTTATTTATTCAATATGAAAGAACAAAATGGAATTTAGGGATAGAGAGAGTATTAATTTTTTAATAATATTAATCAATAATAATTTTATTTTATATTGTTGTATTACGAGCTATATGAATGATAAAGATAAAATTTAATATTATTTGGCATTTCATATTATACCAAAAGCCAAATAAATTAGTTTAAAAAATAATTTTAATCAAATATCGTAATCATAAAAATAAAATTTACTTAGAGACAAAGGGAGCAACTTCTAAAAAAAGTACTCCTAAGAAAACAAAACAATAAAAATAAAGAAAATCAAATTGGGGCCATTTTATAACTGGAATATGATATTTGGGGTGCAAAATGATTTCGCATTGTAAAAATATATAAATTCGCTTGGTAAGGAGAAATATTAGTGTTGCCCCCAATATGGATATGCCAAGTTTTATCCCACCCAAATTTTCTCTCACGGACACAAGTTTATAGATATAAATAATATCTATAAACTTATGCCTGCGCAAGTGTAAAAGCATATAAAGCGATTTAAAACTTGAACACTCATATTGAAGGCACCCTAGCATTGTCCTAACAATAAAGTACACAATGGGTTTTGTACACATAACTGACACTTCAATTGTGAATTGAAACTTAATCTTAGACTGATCAATAGGGAATAAAATGTACATGATTGCTTTTAATTACACGATTGCTTTCTTTTTTTTCTTTTCAAATTTTTTATCTTGGTATTGTTTCAATTTTCAAATGCCAATGAAGTCATAAGCCTATCCATTCACATATTCATCTAAAAGACAAACCCAAAAAAGAAATCTAAGGTGTGTTCCTAGTGTGCAGAGCTCATGTACAAAGCAAAAGAGTGCATCTTCACCCCCACTTCAAAAAGGCTTGTATTGTAAATAAAAGGAGGATCCAACTCCATGTCTAGAAGACAAAGCTTTCCCATTCACAAGCACTTGCTCGGAGAAATCTGCTCGCACCGACTTGAATTGGTAATGCTGCATATTAGAGAATATAAGTATGAAATCAAGGCCAGTATAGATGACTCTTCCTATAGATGCCGGTTACAACAACAACAACAAAAACAACAAGAACATTACCCCAATGCCTCAAAGTCTCCCACACAATGCGGGGTTAGGGGGGAGGGTCGGATGTAGCAACCCGACCCCTACAGATGCCGGTTGTAATCCATTAATTTCTAAGGTCCATCATAAATCTTCAGCAAAATTGATGAATATTCAGTATTAAACAGATGGTTCATTTTGAGATTCGTGTGGTTCACTTTTATGTATGGGTTTTGAATCATGGGGGCAGTTTAGAAGGTATGGGGTTATATATGATCGATGTTGTGTTTGGCATGTATCCGTGAACCAAATTAAGGTTTGTTTGGTCCAACATCATTGTGCCTCCGTGGAAACCAGCCTTCAGCCACCCTTTCATGATGCTTCAGTGATACTATCAGGGAATCATTGTCAAACTGGAAGGGCTTGGGGTATGAGCAAGAGCAAATGAGTTTTAGAAGGTTTGGGGAATCGATTTCCGTAGCCATTTCTCGATTTCTGTGTCATCCTTGCACAGGGGGGCATAATAATCTTCTTCGTCACCAACTATGTGACTTGGGTATGTGATTTTCATGCTCATACCCAATAAGTAATAATAATAATACCCAGTCGTAACAAATGATGCCTAAGAAATAACGAAGTGCGTGGAGAAGCATAATACCTTTCCTTTCCATGAAAAGTCAACATGATGACAGTGGGGCTGAAACAGTGTGATTGTATCTCCTTCTTTAATCTGCAAGGCACAGTAGCAAAAATGTAACAGTCCACAACAAAAACTAATGCATTCCAAGAAAAAACACCCTAACATAAAGTGGAAGCTTGTTGACATAAGAGAACCGCAAATTTAAAAGGCAAAGTATGTCCATTGACCAAGTAAACACTTGATAACACATTTAAAGAAATAGAGGAGAAAGCAGGAAGCTAATACTACAACTAACAGAATGGAAAATGCATATAGACGAGGCAGGAGGCGAGTTTTTAATAAAGCAGGAAAGATTCACATAGTGAAGAAGTCAATACATATTACATAAAGAGAAATACCTAGCATTGCACTTCTCCCATTCTTTCTCTCTCAACAAAAATGATGAGTCATGAAAGATATCATCTACAGACCATCAGAAACCCTATGTTCCCTTCATCAATGACATTCATCAATAGCTAGTCAAGCAACAAACTTTCCTATGTTGGGGGGGCTGAACTAACGGGCACATCATATACGTGTGGAATGCCTCGTCTATAGGTTAACAATTTTCTATACCCCTGCAACCCTGCAGCAACTATTTCTAAGATTAATAGGCCATGTGGAGTGTTTTTGTGGGATTCAGAGGCCACCTCAGTTTCATAGAAGGAAGCTTGCAGACCTTTTGTGGGAGTGCTAAATGCAGGGATTTACAGCACTTGAACAGAGGTTCATAGGGCATTAATGGCTAAAAATTTTTAGGATGTGCAACCCTGGAAAGGTACCCTTTGGTCTAAATGAGTACACAGTTCTTATTTTAAGGGTAGGGAAATCTGGTCGTGACAGAAGACAAATGTGGACTTCCCAGTTTTAAAAATTTAGCCAAATTCTAGGATGATCTGGTGACCAAGGCAGGCTCTTTTAATTAGGTAAATCAACTGCTATCTAAGTGGACAAGTACAAATTAATCTTGCTCTTTGGGTGTCTATAATTTCCGGAGGCACAAAGGTGCTAGGTTAGCTTGGCAAAACATCATTTGGTCTCTCCTTCATATACCAAACATAAGTTTACATCTTGGCTTGAGATGAACCGGCTGCTTACTGACCACATTAACTATATGCAGGTGGATCACACATGTTTTTTTGCTAGTAGTGCATGGCTTGACCACCACACTTTTTATATCAAGTCACAGTAAGAGTGTGGGAAGCAATCAAGTGATGCCTAGATAAGGCTAGGTCAATGGCCACCTTTAAGATAGATATCAAATGGAACAGGAAAGAGAATAGAGGCATCACTACTGTTGCTAAGGCTAGGCAAATGTCCCTCATGTGCACTTTTCATTCGATCTGCATTGTGAGAAATTGGCAGGTTTTGAGAATCCCTCCACCTCGTAGCCCTCCACTCCATGGTACATTTAATTAATACTCATCTCTTGTTGTGCTGGTTGTATTTTTTACCCTTTGGATATGCCCAATATATTTTAGTATTGATGATTTGATCAATCAAAAATTTTCATTCTTAGCATTTACTCCGTATATTAGTCATACCCAGGCTTAGAAAAAAAGATGAAGTATAAAGAGAATAGAACTATTCATGACGCACATAGCAACATCTAAGAGAGAAACTTACAGCTTCATTTTGTACCCCATATGCCGGTAGAACATAGCATGCTTGAGTGGAATCACATAGAACATAATAGCTGCAATAATGGTAAATTAGCCATGATATGTGTGTGTATTTTTGTGCACATTTACTTATTTATTTATATCAATAGATTGACTCTCTAATGACACTCTTAAGGAAAGTAAAGAGTTTGAATAAAAGACGTATGATAAATTATTTAAGATTAACAAGAGAAGTTTGAAGCACATTGATAACCATACAGAGAAAACATTTACAATTGGTGTCACAGCTTGTCTTGACTCTTGAGAAAAACTTACGGTGGAGTTAAAGTCCCAGGCTTAACAGAGAACAAAACTTTCCCGATTAATACCACTCCTTTGTTAAGACCTCTGGAAAGAAAATCTATGGTGGTCTTTCTGTAAGAGGGATTACCTACAAGAGAAAATAATAATTTTCCATTAGACTATGGACACAGAGCTTCCTCCATATCAATACAAAGTTTGCTATTAATATATATTTTTATATAACAAGGCTGACCATTAACGTTATTGAGAGACAATGCCATTGAAGAGAGACGCTTTGACTTACTCCGCCCCTGGTAAATGAAGATATAAAATAAATTATAGCATCACATTCCTAATGTTTGCATCAAATGCTTAAGAGGATCACAAATGATCTTTGTGTGTGTGTGTGTGTATTATGTACACACACACACACATATATATGTATGTAATTATGTATGTATGTATGTGTGTGTGTGTGTGTGTGTGTGTGTGTGTGTGTGTGTGTATATATATATATATATATGGGGATTGACCTCCAGTGAGATGACACCTTACGGTGCGATGCTTCGGTCAGATGACGCAAAGCTCACCACACTACACTACAAAGCTCACCAATGGACAATGCAAAGCTCACCTGGAAATAATGCAAAGCTCACCACTTTGAACCCCAAAACTCACCTTTTTAAATTTTGAAAATTAAAAAATTAATTAAAAATAAAATAGCAACACCGGTCAACCACCGGTCAACCACCGATCAACGGCGGCCGCAGGCGGCGGTGACCGGCGACGGCGGAGACCGGCGACTGGCGGCGGCAGGTGGCGGTCAATGCTGGAGTCAACGGTCAAAGTCTAGTCAGCACCCCTTCCTTTGATTTTATTTTTTCAAAAAAAATTCAAAGTGTTGAAAAAAATATGGTGAGCTTTGCCTTTGTGCTTGGTGAGCTTTGCAGTGGGCAGTGGTGAGCTTTGCGTCATCTGACCGAAGCATGTCATCGCACCATAAGGTGTCATCTCACTGGAGTCAATCCCATATATATATATATATATATATATATATATGGATTTTGGATCAAATGAGAATAATGCTCCATTGAAGAAACGAGAATGCATATAGTCCATTGGATTTGAGATCTAAAGGTTTTTAATAAATGAAAAATGGAGGGAAAATTTTGAAAAACACAGTGGCATAATCGTAAATGATTAAAGCTTCTCTGCCATTGCGAAAATGCATTACCTTATTTGGAAAATGCATCACGACGAACCAAAGATGAATTATTCTCATTTCTCACTTTAATGTTCATTCTCACCGGAACCGACCCCTATAAAGTCATTTATGGCTTTATTGGCATTACCCGAAGACAGTTCTTTTTAAGGTCGAATGGATTGGTTGTTTGTCAAGTAAATATGGCTATGGTTGGTTGTTTGGATTTTAAGAGGTAGCTGGTTATGGAGGGGAGTACTTCTATTTTAGACTAGAAGGTGGAACCAGTTCGGGGGGGGGGGGGGATCCAGATTAGGGAATGGGTCCTTGAGGTTTGGATACCACTTCTGATGACTACACATCATAATACTTGCAGTGGGGATCCTTATACTTCAAGCTCTGCCTGTTTGATTGAGGAAATTGCAAATGAAGGGTTGGAAGAAATTAGGTCCCCTATCTTCCATTTGGGGTAGACCAACATTATGGGAATTATGCTTCCTAAACTCAGGAAGAGGCTTTAGGAGTAAACCTGAGTTAAACAGATCATGCTGTTTATTGTGCTTGGAGGTCTTTGGAATTTTTCTCCTTTTTCTTTTGCAGTAAAAGCTTTTCACATGGACTCCCTGATTTTCCAGCAAGACCAAGACAGAGAATCGGTCTGACAGCTTTTGTAGTTTTCAGTGTTTTGGATTTTTTTTAGTTGTTTTCCCTTTTGACGTACTGTTGGGCTTTTTTTTCATTTGGCTGTACTATTGTGGTTTCTCGCCACCCCCACCTTTTTACTTTTTCTTTTTTTTCATAAAGTTTCCTTTTTAATTAAAAAAACGAAGTCATGTCACCTCTTGTTTTCTAGAGCATTTGATTTAGCTTCATATATACATTTTATTTTGAAATTCTATACCATTGTTTAAATAGATTTAATTGAAATTAAACTCAGCCAAGACACGCAAACCTCAAAGATAGCTAAAGCCCGCTTGAACCCTGTATTTTTAAAGCCCAAACAATTCCCTTTTTTTAACGGATCCCTTTTTTATTCCCTATAAAACTCCCTTAAAATCCCTCCCCTTGCTTCCATGTGGGCTTGAACCTGGGTGAGCAGCCCTATAGTCCCTATTTTGGTCTTTCAAACACTCGATCACGGGGGCTTGCTCGTAGATGGGTGGTTATAATTACCACCAGATATTTGTTTTAACTTTGGAGAATTTTTTTCTATTTTGGAAAGCAAAAAAAGGGTTTTCCTAATTTTCTGAATTAAGGGGCATATTAGAAAACAATTTTATGTTTTCTAAATTTGAAAAACTGGTGAGCTGAACAGTTTTCTATTTACAAAAACAAACAAACAAAAAGTAAACCTGCTCTGTGCTGTTTTCAAGTTTTCTAGAAAATAAAAAACTTTTTCCCTTAAGTAACAACCCCTTAATGTCTCAGAATGAACTCCAAGAAATGACCAGCTGGAATCTACTGGCATGAAACCATTGGCTGATTTATTTAAATTAAAAAATTCTCCCTCTGTCCAGTTAGAATCTTTCCACTTTGACTTTGCACGGGTTTTAATGTAATGTTAAATTTACTTTGACTTCCAATTATGCCCTTCTCTTAATAATTAAGCCTTTCATCTTCCGTCTCAATCCACCCCACCTGCCTCTATTTCAAACCACTTCCCTTCATGCTAAATCAAAATCCAAAAAACAAAAATCACCATCTACCGCTTGAAATGTAAATCCAAAATGAAAATGAACTTCAACGTCAAGATCAAGTAGCCATAAAAATTTAATGTCACTGCCTTGATCTGCGGAACTTGCTTAGATCTCATCGCCATCCCTTTCCCTGATGCTCCTCCACTGTCGATGGTTACACTAGAAATTAAAACTGTATGATAAAGAAGATACGAGCAGGGGGGTGACGAAGAAAAACAAATCAAAATTGAAGAACAAATTGGGGGTTAGGGGTGAGGTTGATGAAGGAAGAAGAAGAAAAAACAAAAGAGAAAAAAGATGAAAAAATTGGGGGGGAGGGGGACGAAGAAGAAAGGAGAAAAATAGTGAGTGGCAATTTAGATTCAAATCTAGTTACACCCATCTTCGATAACTCTTTCAGATTTAGATTCAAATTTGCCCGCATCTTAGAAGAGGTCGGTGGTGAGGCTTGCATCGGGGGACGGAGCGGCATCGGCGGAAGGAGCAGCGTCGGCGGTTTACGCAAGGGGGACGAGGTCAATGGAGCAATGAAGGTGGAAGGGAAGAGTAGGAATTTGTGGACGAGAGAAGAGAGTAGGGTGAGGGATTTTGTAGATAAGAGTGAGGAGGGAAAATGAGTCTTTTAACATTAAAACAGTTTCCATATTAGGAAAGTGGAAATATTCAAGAAGGATGACCCAAAATGGAAAGTGGAAAGATTCAAAAGGGACGGAGGGAGTAGCAATTAAACACAATCTAAATCGTATATTCTGTCACATTCATCATCCTTGTGATTATGAAAACTTAATCGAGCATTTCCCTTTTATCTGTCTCAAACTAAATGGAGATAAATGCAATAATATTGATTCATATGAAACGAAAGTTTATGGCAATGATATACTTACTGTCAGCAAACTATGTAATTTGTCAAGAAGGTAAAGCACTTGTTGGACCTCCTCTGTTGCATTTAGACCAGGATCCTTCAATGCGGCAGCTTCAAATCCAGTAAGGGCTTTCTCATAGTTCTCCAGATATTTGTTTAGCTGGCAATTAGTTCTCAGAAGTCAGTACTAAGTAGTCATCATTTTACTTTACTAAATTTTATGAAAAAAAGAAAATTGAGAAAGTGGAAAGACTAGGAGCAATGAAACAAATAGTCTAGCTGAGAAACATAGGCAAATACATAATGATCAGATCAGACTCTTGAGAGCATTTCTCTCATAATGCTGCAGTAAGGTCAACAACATACAAAGATCTGATGTTTTATGACAAACAATAACACATCAGGGTGAATATTGATGCTTACAGTTGCAAAGTTAAAATATAGGTCTGGATAACATTTCATTCGTTCATCTCTCTCCTGTATAAAAACAACAACACAGCTTTCAAATACCTGTCCTGTATAAAGTAAAAAAAAAGACAGTGACATGTTGTATATCTATACTAGACATAGAATTGAAATATTAAAAGGCCATTATATGAGTTTAAAAAGGTCATCTCAAGAGTTCCACATCCATTTCATAATCTACAATGAACTACTCCATATTAGATAACCGATAGCTGGAACTTTATTAAGTGCATACATACAGAATTTTGGTATGCTTTCAATGACTGTAGGAGTTTTCTGTGATCCCAAGCTCCGGTGACAAAAAAGGATGTGTAATAGGCATTACCCAAGTTATCTGTAATAACGATAAAAAATTGACTAGGGATCTATAATATAAATCCAGCAGAACAATAAGAACAATAGACGTACTCCCTCCGTCCTATAATGATCTTCCCGGTTCGCAAAACGAAGAAAAATCCCAAGTTTTTTCAATCTATTTTATTTAAACATTGGTACAGAAATAAAAAATAAAACATACATATTTAAAAACTACACCAAAAGTTCAACAAAACAAGTGGTGACAAGAATATTTTATTTTATCATATAGGCCATGAAAAAACACAAATAAATATAAATTCCCGTGAAGTTGGAATAGTGCTTTGGGAAGATCATTATAGGACGGAGGGAGTAATAAAGTTCCACATTTCCACAGGGGGTCTAGGGAGGGTGTGTCAGTGTGTGTACGCAAACCTTCCCCATACTCAGAAAGTAGAGAGGCTATTTCTTGAAGACCCCCGGCTCAAAACACACGATCACGACAAAGGAAAGTAGCACAGACAGAGTAAGACCACAAATTAGAAAAACACACATGCAGAAACATGGTAGTCAAACTCTAGATTCTCCGTAGGATTGATAGGCTTAATGAACATCGGAACATCGTAAGATCGTGACTCAGATCGTAAGATCCTAGTTATATATATATATATATATATATATATATATATATAAAATTAAATTTTAATAAAACATTACACATGTTTAAGTTGGATATCACGAATGACTTAAAACTTTGTTCTTAAACATCTAAAACATAATTATCAATGATAATCTATAGAACATAAAAGAGAAGCACAGGGCAGGAGGCTTTGCCGTAGAAGGAGCGTATAAATAATCGCGATTGGAATTGGAAGTTGCGAAATAATCGAAGCGACTAAATCAACGCGACGAAATCGAAGCGACGAAATTTCCGATTCAAATTTCCAATTCAAATTTCCGACAAAATCAAAGCGACGAAATAGGGCTTTTCAAAATCGATGATTTCCTGCGATTCTGTAAGTGCACAATCTAGCTCGCCGATTCTTCCGACCCGACGGATTTTTGCGAGTTTGATGGCGAGTTGGATCGGACACCCCCTGGCGATCTCCAGAATCGTAGAATCGTACGATCCGGATCGCGAGTTTGACTACTATGTGCAGAAACTATTAACTAAGGCACAAAAGCACACAGACAAAAACTATGAGCTAATGCCCACAAGTCTATCTACCACCCTCATCCTAGTCATCCTAGACCTCCAGACACTCTTATATAATGTCATATCCTCATTAAGTTCTGAAGTCATAGGTCTTGTCTAACCACCTCATTCCAACTCTTCTTAGGTATACGTCTACCTCTACCCCTCCTAACACCTTCTACCACAAGTCTTTCTCATCTCCTATAGAGGGCATCTATACTTCTCTTCAATGCATGCCCAAACTATCACAATCTAGCTTCCCACAACTTTTCCACCCCAAAAGCCACTCCCACCATCCTCGAATATCCACATTTTGGATTAAATCCATCTTTGTATGTCCATACATCCACCTCAACATCCTCATCTCATGTCTCCCACTCGTAGCCTCTGAACGTGTGTTCCCCTCATCGCCCAACATTTTTCACCATACAACAGTTAATTGATCCGACAACAACAAAGCCTTATCCCACTAGGTGTGGTCGGCTACATGGATCAAACGACGTCATTCTGCTTTGAGATCATTCACGCAAAGGTCTCCCTTAATCACTGTTTTCCAAGTCCTTTAGGTCTACCTCTTCTTTTAGCCACATGCATATTCACTATTTGATCAACCCTTCTCACACGATGCTTTATTGGTCTTCTCTCCACATGTCCAAACAACCTAAGACGCATTTCCACCATCTTTTCTACAATAGGTGTCACCCCAACTTTAGCTCTCATATTTTTATTCCTTATTCTATCCATACGCGTATGACCCCTTATCCAACGAAGCATCTTCATTTCTGTCACACTAACCATGTGTTCATGTTCACCCTTTGCTGTCCAACACTCTGTTCCATACAATATAGCTAGTCTAATAGCAGTACGATAAAATTTTCCATCTAGTTTTAAAGGTACCTTTTTGTTAGATATAAAGCCCGAAACACTCTGCCATTTTGACCAACCGACTTGAATCATGTGGTTAACAGCATCCTCTATTTCTCTATTTTATTGACTGATACACCCAAGATATTTATATCTCTTTACTTTGGTACAATATTTTCTCCTCTACATTATCCTCTACTTTCACCTCGATGTTACTATTTCTCCTTCCATTGCCAAGCTTGCACTTGTGCGACTTATACGCAAGCCATGCAACTCTAAAGCCTGTCTCCACCCATCCAACTTCTCATTCAAATCCTCTTGTGATTCGCCCGTAAGGATGATCTCATCAGCAAAAACCATGCACCATGGTACGAGTTCTTTAATATGCTCAGTAAGAACGTCCAATACTAGTGTAAAAAGAAATGGGGTTAATGATGACCCTTGGTGTAATCCTACACCTATGTGAAATTCCCCAGTTACACTTTAAGTTCTCAGACTCGTTGTAGCACCATCATACATGTCCTTAATCACACGAATATAAGCAATCCTTACTCTTTTTTTCTCTAACACCTTCCACAATACTTCTCTTGGTACCTATCATATACCTTTTCCAAATCAATAAAAGCCATGCATAAATCTTTCTTCTCACTTCGGTACCTCTCCATAATTCTCCTCACCAAGTATATAGCCTCTGTAGTTGATATTCCTGGCATAAAACCAAATTAGTACTCTGACACCGAAGTCTCTTGTCTCAACCTTCGTTCAACCACTATATCTCTCAACTTCATCGTATGACTCATAAGCTTGACCCATTTGTAGTTTCCATAACTTTGAATATCCCCTTATTCTTGTAAATAGGAACCAAAATGTTCTTTCTCCAATCGTTAAGCATCTTCTTAGATCTTAGAAACTCGTTAAAAAGCTTAGTTAGCCACCAAATGCCTTTTCCTCCTAAATCTTTCCGAACTTCAATCGGGATGTTGTCCCACTGCTCTACTATTCTACATCCCTTTTAAGGCCTCCTTAACTTCGGGATCTCGAATTTTCCGATAACAATTGAAGTTTTGGTCCTCCTCCCTCGCGTGTAGCTCCTCTTTGATCCGACCAAAGGACATCTTAGACAAGCTTCCACTTAGTCCAAGTGGCTCCAATACAATGAACAATCTCCCCATTGATTTGAATGACGGATCCCAAGTGCCAAAAATTTGTCCCTTCTAGGCACCGGATGCGAATCAACGATCAATCCACACTTCCACTCCCATTTCACTCGTTTTACCATTGAAGTAACATTCCATGGCCTTAGCCATGCTCAATAAAAAAAACTTTTGGATTCCAAAGTCTATCTCCACACCTCTAACCTACAATCGAGTCCCTCACACATCTAGTTAGTCAGAACAATGTCATCTGCATACAACATGCACCAAGGCACCTCCCCTTGAATATGTCGTGTCAAAACATCCATCACCAAAGCAAACAAGAACGAGCTAAGAGCATACCTATGAATATGCCACATTAAAACATCTATCACAAAAGCAAACAAGAACATCAGTCACCAAATCAAATAATGACAACAATGACAACAACGACGATAACAGCAACAATAACAACAACAACAACAACAACAACAACAACAATAATAATAATAATAATAATAAAAAAAAAAAACTTTAACAACAATAAACAATGGTGAAAATAATTTGAAATTCAAATCAAGTGTAGTAATAGCAAGAACAAAAGACAATTCGATAATCAAGCCTCAACTAAAAAGAAAACCAAAGATGTAGCATATACTCCCCTTGTCCCAAAGTAAACTCCATGTTTACTTTTTGACATAGTTTAAGTAAAGGTAAAATTAAGTGGTTAAGGTTTATTCACAACTGAGAGAAATAATGTGAACCATCGGAATCCTTTCCTTTAAGGCAATCTAAAGTTTATTTTGAGACGACCCAAAAACGAAAGTGAAATATTTATTTTGGGACAAAGAGTGTTTTAGCCTTGTAAGCATAGGGATGCAATTTTAAATCCTGGTTTATGTTGCTTATCATCTAGTTCCAATCATCAGTCATTCTACTATCACACAATCTATGGCACTAATAAAGAAATAGAGTTAAGCACATAAGAAAATAAGTAGCAAAGTCAATATTCAACCACTCATGTAAAAAATGCATTCACTAGAGCTTAACATATAAGTAGAACAGATAAAAAGTGCACTCTATCAATGCACGTGAGCTAAAATTCCACCCAAGTGTGCTCCTCTCTAAGTTTAGTTGTAAAAAATGTCTATGAAGTTATATTTGAGTTAGGGACCTACACCATGAATATCCATCCTTAACATCTAGAGTGATAGCTTCTTTTGCATGCTTAACACTCTCTTCAACAATTTCTGCCACATCTTCAGCACCTGCAAAAAAGTAAGAAAATATAGTCTAACTGTCTAAGCCAAGTAGGTTCTTAAGTGGAGAATAAAGATCGAAATAGAACCCAGAATATTGAAGGGAAATAGACCAAAAAGAGGCTGTTAGTGAGTTAAAATATTCACATATTACAATGCCCCATAAGATAATAACATGTTCCAGAAGATGATGCAGCATGCAAGCAAGCAAGCAGCCTTCTGCTCCCATCACTAGAAAAAGTGGTTTCAACTAAAGACGAGTAACATATATGGAGTAATTGTTAATTCATGTAGCACACAGATGGATAACATTAGAAATTTCAATTATTACTACGTAGTAGATAGCATTAGAGGGTAGGATGCATACTTCATAGATAAACGGTATGTGTAATAGGATAGAGTGGGGACTCCTCTAAATTTAAACTTAAAAGGGTCAAAAAAGTAAAATAATTTGCATAAAAATTATCAAACATGGGGGCAGGCCTGGTAAGCGCACCACTTTAGACCATCCGAAGTACGTTATGTCTTCCGTAATCACTATAGTTGGTAGTGTAAATGGAACCAGATGGAATAAAGAGTTAAGGATTGTTCCTTTTTTAAAAAATCTTAAATTTGTCAATGATTGGTTCATTTACTACCAGAGCATTAATGCTGGAAAAGGATTGAAATTGTTAGGAAGAATTAAAGATACACAAAAAATTATCTTAATGCATGAGAAATAGGGACAAGGAAAAGGTTATTCCTTATATCGCCAAGATATTGTAACTAACAAGTACACAAAGAAAAACCACCTTGAGCCATTTCCCTTTCTAGCATTGACAGCTGACAAAGTATTCTTTTATTTGGTCCCTGAGGATGATATTCATAAGATATATTAGCCTTACAAAGTATTGCGCAAGTACAAAAAGTTAATGTATCTACTGCATCTCTACTGAACTTAACAAACCACGGCACTAAAAAATAGACCTTGCTCAAGCCAAACACGAAACAATTCTTGACCGATGAGAAATCTCTTTTCTTCCATATGCAGTTACCTAGGCATAGCCAAGCATCTACAAGAGAAGGGTTCAACTTTACCTGAAAAATGTACTCCGTATATGCAAAAAATTAAATGGAGTGAAAACCTAGTGTGAACCCAAAATTTAAAATAAAAATCACTCCTACATACAGCTTTTGAGAGGTGCTCCTCTGCTTCCTTCCTATAATCAGGAAACACATCCAATATTTTGCCCCTCAAGTACTCGTATGTCGCTCGTTGGATTGGTAGTTTCCTTCTCTCTGCAAATTTTGGTAAATGTAAAATCAGCCTATCGCACCCCATTTCACTCTATATTTATGGAGGAGGGCAGCAAGGTTCTCATCAATTATGGGTCCCTTTGTTTTGGCGTTAAGGTGAATTCAGAAAGAAAATCAGACTCACCGCAGGGATCATTATCTACGGTGAGGTGCGGTAAAAAAGTCTCTTAAGTGTCAAAAAATATCACTGGTCTGGGAAGACTTAAGCTAGTGCATTTAGGTTTTCTTTTCCGATTATTACCTATAAATATATAATCTCTTGTTTGTTTCTTTTACTGTCAAGAAAGGATCTCGTAAGTTATTCTATCTGCAAATGTGAGTATCGGTGTTTGAGGTATATGTTATATTTATTTCTTCTTTAAAATACAAGTATAATCTAACAAATTTCTAGGTGTTTGTGTGTCTGCCAAGAGTATTGTGTCAAATTCTGTCGGTTTTCCAGTGGTCAAGTTATCCACCCAAAAATTGGAGTATGACTAGTTAATTAATGTAGGCATGATGATTCAAGTTCGCAATTGCTCTTCTTTTGTTCTTGAAGCAGTTTATCCATGGCCAATAATGTAAAAATGAAAAAGCAACAACATTCTACATAACATATTAGCTAAAATAATAGAGTACATTTTAAAATTGTCTTTAATGGTCAGCTCCAATTCTAATCTCACTGCACAAGAATACCTACTAAGCTCACACAGCTACGTTAGATTCTCCCCCATCATCATCATCATCATTCCAAACTAAAACCTGAAACAAAGGCTCCCTGAGCTAACCAAGTAATCTTTCATTCTTTCTACCAGAGACATGAAAAATAGGTCTCCCCCTTAAATTTGGAACGTCGATTGTACTTACATTTCTAATTCTGGAATCATTAAGAAGAAATTTAACAGGTAACAGGAAAAATCAAAAGCAAAGAAGAGAGAGACAGAGAGAGAGATGGTTCACCGTGAGGTATTGCATCGAGCAGTTGGAGGGCAAGATCGGATTTGCTCTCTAAAATGGAGGCTTTTTCATCTGGGTTTGCCGGGTAAAACCTCTCCCGAATCTTGTAGAGCTCATCGGCAGCTTCTGATGCCTTGGAGAACAAATCATCTTCGTCGGCATTTTCTGATATCGCGCTGCTCATTGTTTGCTGTTATGTAGAGCTAAAGAATGGAGCCAAGCGTGCCGGAAATGTAGCCTCGCAACGGGAGTTCTAGAAAGTGTGATTGCCTGCCGGAGTAGGACAAAGTTAAGCACGTGCCCGTGGGGGAGCTCAGTTGGGCTAAAGGTATACCGCAACCCTGATTAGAGCTAAATTGAATGTTGAGTATGGGTTCTTGCATACCACTCTCTAGAATCCTAATGTCAAACTCATTGATTTTAGCGTCGAATCTTTATCTATAGAAAGGTAATGTGTAAAACATGAACAGTGCAATTTTCTCGCCCAAACGTATTGAGCTAAATTGGGCTAATGGGCTGGCGAGGGGTTTAATGGGCTGCGGGATGGGTAATGATACTTTGTGGGGAAGCATGATAATAAACACCCTCCATTGGTGTGTGACTCGATGCAAATTTTATGTCAAATCAAAATAAATAAATGAGTAGTGTAGTACTCCCTCCGTCCTAAAACTTTCTTCCCAGAGCACTATTCCAACTTCACGGGAATTTATATTTATTTGCATTTTTTCATGGCCTATATGATAAAATAAAATATTCTTGTCACCACTTGTTTTGTTGAACTTTTGATGTAGTTTTTAAATATGTATGTTTTATTTTTTATTTCTATACCAATATTTAAATAAAATAGATTGAAAAAACTTGTGATTTTTCTTTGTTTTGCGCAACAGGAAGAAAGATATAGGACGGAGGGAGTAATATGAAACTGTGTGCGTAGTAATATTGGTGCGTGGCTCGATGCAAACTTTATGTCAAATCAAAATAAATAAATGAGTAGTGTATTGCTAGGAAATTGCTTGTGTAGTAAAGTTGGTGCGTGACTCGATGCAAATTTTATGTCAAATCAAAATAAATAAATGGGTAGTGTGTTGATATGAAACCGTGTGCATAGTAATGTTGGTGCGTGGCTCGATGCAAACTTTATGTCAAATCAAGATAAATAAATGGGTAGTGTATTGTGATGGAACCGCGTGCGTAGTAAAGTTAGTGCGTGACTCGATGCAAATTTTGTCAAGTCAAAATAAATAAACGATGCATGACTCTTTAACTTTGTACTTTTATAACAATAATCCTTACGTTTATTTTGTCATCCTTGAAATATTTACATACGAATCAAGTACTTTCATTAATATACATCATTTTTTCCTATTACGAAGTCACTATGACTATTACACTCATCTAAGTTACTAGCCGTGCAACGCACGGGTACGGATCTAGTTTTAACAGCGACAACGTAAAAGTTTTATTTTTTGTTATAGCTTCTTGTATACTTCGGGCACGGGACAATCTCTTTAAAGATCAGATTAAGATTAATCATGATTTACCTCTTCACAATTCTGTCGGGCCAGAGTGTGGCGGCGCCCGGGGTGGACATTCCACCCTTTTTATCTGATATTATAAAGGTGGAACGTCCAAAGCCCATCGGGTCTCTCCCACACCCAGGCCGGAAAGGATAGTGAAAGAACACCCCGACCCAACAGGATAATAAAGAGGTAAATCATGGTATAATCTTAACTTGGTCCTTAGAGAGTTTGTCTTGTACCCGGTGCGCACAAGGAGCTATTACAAAGAATAGAACTCTCACATTATCGCTGCCGAAATTTGACCCCAAGATCTATGGATTTGACATCCTCAGACTAGTTGAGCTACCCATGCGGGCAAAAATAAAAATGTGTAGAGAAAAGGAAACAACAATCAGAAACTACCAATCCAATGAGGAGGTTGGACCTGCCGCCTAAGTGGTGTTTGGACATAGGACCATACTATAATCACCCCACAAATTACAAAAATGCTAGGAGCATACAAAAAATGTACCTCATTTACACATCATCGGACGTTTCACCATACATTTCTTGATTTAGATAAGAAGAGAAAGAAATGAATTAAAAATGTGTGGCAATGAGCCTGGTGGTGTATATAAATAGGATACACTTTTGGTGTATCCCTAATGTTACTCCACAAATTACAAGGTATGCCATCTTTGTTAGGGCTTCTAGTGGTATTGACTATTGATGATTTGTTCTTTTATACAAGTATCTTAGGCACATTAATCTTAAACCTTATGTGTCATCATCTCAAACGTGTTAAAACTAGAATTATATTCATGTAGAAACCATTAATACGTGCATTGGTATTGTAGCATTATTTTCAAGTGTAGGTTTTGATAAATGACAAACAATAAAGTTAAGATGTTGTGGTTGACAAACAATGAAGAAAGCATGTGGTGATAATGTGTGCGCTTGAAGTGAAGATTATGCCAAAGATATGAAGACAATTAAAGAAGTGCTCAAGAGTTCAAGGCCGAAGTTTCGAAGACATAGGTCATTAGGTAAAACTCAATGTAAAGAGCAACACTTAAGATATCTTTGCTTTAGGCTCAACTTAAGTTATTTTTCATATGCATAAAATTATGGTTTTCATACTTACATGTTGCCAACAAAAAATATAACGTTCAGTGTCCGGCGTTTGGTATCGGAACCAACTAAGTGGTTTTCAACTTTTTATGATTGATTTCTTCCTCTGGGCACAGTTATATAGTTTTCCAACAAAAACTTTCTAAAAACCACCTTTGGTTTTTGGTCTTTGGTCAAAAACCGTGAAAATCGCCTTTACCTTGGTGATTCATGGTTTTCACCTTAACAACGTGGTTTTTAGATTTTTAATTTTTTTTTCCGCATCAAATACATCAAATAAATGTTTCCAACACTTGGTTTTAATTTGGAAATTTTGATTTTTTCACCTCGATTTTCGGCTTGATCTTCGCTGGTGGGTTTCTGACTAAGTTGATAGCCGATTATCAGTTTAAGATAATTGATTATCAAGCTTGACCAGCTTCTGAACTCAAAGTATTTTATGCAATATTAGGTGAAGGTCAATCCAACGTTAGATCACCATTGTTTGATGGCACAAACTATATGTATTGGAAAGTGCAAATTTTTCTATAATTAACAAGGAATAGTTTAGGAGAGAGGGAATAATAAAGAAATATTTACACCAAATAGTACTAAAACACAAGTCATTTCTCAGTATAGGAATTAAACTTTTTTATTTTCTAAATAGTATTTAATAATGTCTAGAATGAGGAATAATGTCCAATAATGGTAAACATTTACTTGAATAATGACTAATGGATAATGACTTAAAGTACTACACTAGGAAATAAAACATATGATGTTATTTAGAGAAAGTCATTATATTTTAGTGATATTTAGTGCAAATATTTCCTCAATAAGTGTATCATGAACACCCATATCATACGACCCGAGAGAAGGTATATGGTACAACCGGATGTACAGTATATCCGGGTAGTACTCATTTTCGCACAAATATAATTAGCGTGGTACTCATTCTAAAATAATGCAGTACTCATTTTTACACATTGGTTCAACATAATTATAATATTTATCTACAAATAATGTACTACCTCCGTCTCGTTATATTCGTCCACTTTTGATTTTTGGAACTGTTCATCTAAGCACTTTGACTCATCAAATTCTCTTAATGTGTAAGCCTAAATATAGTCATGTGTGATCTTGTTTGATTTGTCTTAACATATAGATTATTACTCCCTCCGTCCTAAAACTATCTTCCCACTTCTCCTTTTTCCTCGTCCTAAAACTATCTTCCCACTTCTTAAAAAAGGGTGTAAATAGACTATATTACCCCATCTGGCTTCCTCCATTTCTTTCGTCTCCCGTCTTCGTCTCTCTTCCTCATCACTTCTTCCTCTCTCCCTTCCTCCATCTCTCATACCCAGGTAATCCTTATCTTTTCTCCATCTCTCTGAAAAATCCCCTCTCATTCTTTCTTCGTCTCTTCAAAATCAGATTTAGATCTAAAGTCCCTCTCCCCCTTTCGATCTACTCTGGCGATGCTATGCCCCTTCTTCTAAAGTCACTTTCGATCTAAAGTCCCTCTCCCCCTTTCGATGCTATGCCTAGGGATGGCAATTCAACCCGAACCCGAGCTTAACCGACCCGACCGACCACTAAAATATCCGAACCCGAACCGAGAATAAAATAATCCGAATCCGACCCGAAATTTTTTACCCGAACCCGACATCGGGTCGGGTCGGGTGTGGGTTTATTATTTTACCCGACCGACCCGAACCCGACCCGACTCAAACCCGAATATTTTATAACATAAAACTCTATCTATGGATATAATGAGCACTCCGTATAATCCTTGACAAAGTGCTACTATATTAAGTATGTCTTTTATAATCATTTTTATAATTTCTTAATAAAAAAATGAGACACAAAAAAAATTAGATGTAATCTTTTTAAAATTATTGGGGTACGCCGAATTGATTATTAGTTAAAAGTCGGGTTCGGGTCGGGTTCGGGTTTTTGGTTGGAATGTCGGGTTCGGGTTGGGTTCGGGTTTTGGCTTAAAAAGTCGGGTTTCGGTTTTTAAAGTCGGGTCGGGTTCGGGTATAGTACTATCCGACCCGAACCCGACCCGTTGCCATCCCTAGCTATGCCCTTTCAATCTAAAGTCCCTCTCCCCCTTCGTCTCCTCAATTTTTGGTTAGTTTTTTTTTTAAATTTTTTTAGTTTTCTTTTTCATTTCTTTGGACAAAATTAGGTTTTCAGCCATCCACTGTCACCTCCGAGCAAGTCACCCACAGCCGCCGTCATTCCAATCACGGTGCAGCCGCTCAAAGTTGTGGCTAATTGCACCGTCCAATTGCCAGAAGGGGTTGGGAATCTGGATTGAAATTTTGGAATGTGTTTTTCAGTTTTAAGAGGGGTAAAATTGGGAGTCAAAGGCAAAATAATTAGACTCTTAAAAATGGCAAAAAGTCAATGTGGGAAGATCAATATAGGACGGAGGGAGCAATATATAATTTCTATAATTTTTTAATATACAAATTACAAGATAAAATGGATTAAATAAGTGTATTGGATGGTGTGCAAAAATGAAAGTGGACAAATACTCTGGGACGGAGGGAGTAGTATTCATTCTGAATCAAAACAATATTTATTTTCAATAATTTCTTGAGTGTACCTAAAATTGGATATAACATATAATATAACGACCATGCTACATATACACCAAAAAATGTACACCATTTGTACACCACACTTATGCACAAACATTTTAACGGATTACACCGACACAAGTGTTGGTGCGTTAACAAAAATTTACACGAACACAAAGTGTTGGTGCGTTAACAGAAATTAGTTTTACACCAATACAAAATATTGGTGCAAACTTGTAGGGTACAAATTGGGGTATAAGTGTTGGGTACATAGCTTAATCCATAATATAATTTTCCCGACCCTACCTGCTCCGTATAATTTGGCTGTATTCATAATCATTACACATGAATAATACACTATTGCCAGGCATATATCCATGGCTTCAAGTTTCCGCCAAGATCGGTTCTGTGTCCGAAGCCACCCATTTCGCACAAGGTTTGGCTTGTATGGCGATGGAGCTTCAATTTCTCTCACCTCTGCCGCAATCCCACTACCTACGCTGTGGAAAAAATGCCGGCGCGTCCAAGCTGGTTCCTTCCGCTCCTTCCTACCGCCGTGAAAGAGCGATTTGTTGTCTGAGAAGCTTGGGTGGAGTTGATGAGAAATTATACTGCGGATATGGAAATTTTACTCAGAAAAGTTCAAGTGTCAATCGCGGACCTAGGGTTGTGGATGCAGCTACAGTCGATGCTTCTGTTGGTGTACAGACTGAAGCAGAAGTATGGAAGTATCTCTTCCGAACCGATGCCGGTGGTCTAGTGAAGGTGTGTGTTAATTATACGAGGAATGTCATGTATGGAGTTCAGATTGAGGCTTTACCATCAGAGTTTGGTAATGGACAAGGGGAGGTAGTTATGGTTTGGGGATTGTTTAGATCTGATGCCAAGTCTTTTATGTCTTTGGGCTCAACAATTTCTGGGAATTGTGATGCTCAGAATACTGTGGAAACAGTGATTCAAACGAAACCATCTGGCAAGCTTGAAGTTGAGCTAAATTTTGAACCGAGTTTAGCTCCTTTCTACTTGTCTTTCTTTCTCAAGTCTTCTTCATTGAGTTCTGAAGCTAGTATTTTAGAAACAAGGAGTCATAGGAATACGAACTTTGTTGTACCGATTGGGTTCAGTTCTGGTCATCCTGCTCCATTGGGTTTATCTTTTCTCCAGGACGGATCTGTGAATTTCGCAGTTGTGTCACGTTGTGCTAGGAGCGTAGTTTTGTGCTTGTATGATGACATGAGAAAGGAGAAGCCTGATATAGAGCTTGATTTAGATCCTTATGTAAATCGAACTGGAAGTGTCTGGCATGCATCGATAGATGGTTCTTTGCCATTTGTGGGTTATGGTTACCGTTGCAGAGGGGAAATTGGCGAGAAGGCAGAACACGTTCTGTTAGATCCATATGCGAAGATCATTGATGATAGGATTCTTCCCGAGGAAGGCCCTGTCATAATTCCAAGATCTCTTGGGCAGTTATGCGAGGAACCTGCATTTGATTGGAGCAGTGATATTCGACCTAACATACCAATGGAGAAACTAATACTTTATCATTTGAATGTAAGCAATTTCACAAAGGACAATTCCAGTAAGTTACCCACTCACCTTGCTGGAACTGTTCTTGGTATTACAGAGAAATTAGAGCATTTCAAAGATCTTGGCGTCAATGCAATCTTATTAGAGCCTATTTTTCCTTTCGACCAGCAGAAAGGACCATATTTTCCGCTGCAATTTTTTTCACCCGGGCAGTTATTTGGGTCTCCTGGCAATCCTTCTGCAGTTATAAATGATATGAAAGAGATGGTGAAGAAAGTCCATGCCAATGGAATAGAGGTTTTTCTTCAGGTTGTTTTCACCCACACAGCTGAGGGTGCATCTTTGTTCCATATTGATAAATCTTCCTACTATTATCCTGAAGGTGATCAGGCCTTGAAATTTCGACATTCATTGAATTGCAATTACCCTCTTGTCCAACAACTGATTTGGGACAGTCTCCGCCATTGGGTGGTAGAGTACCACATTGATGGTTTTTGTTTTGTTAATGCTTCTTCCTTGACGAGAGGATTCCACGGAGAGCTCCTGTCGCGCCCTCCTCTAGTTGAGGCGATTGCTTTTGATCCTTTACTTTCCAATGTAAAGTTGATTGCAGATTTTTGGAATCCTCTAGAAAAAACATCCAAAGAAATTATATTCCCTCATTGGAAGAGATGGGCAGAGATGAATTCAAAATTCTGCAATGATGTGAGGGACTTTTTGAGGGGCAATGGTTCCTTAAGTAGCCTCGCTACACGGCTCTGCGGAAGCGGTGATGTGTTCTCTGCTGGACGTGGCCCTGCATTTTCCTTCAACTATATTGCTAGAAACTTTGGACTTCCTCTTTTAGATTTGGTCAGCTTTAGTAGACATGAGCTAGCTTCCGAGTTAAGTTGGAACTGTGGAGAAGAAGGTCCAACAAACAACAGTGTTGTCCTTGAATGCCGGCTGAAACAGATTCGCAATTTTCTCTTCATATTGTTCATTTCGCTCGGAGTTCCAGTTCTAAACATGGGGGACGAGTGTGGTCAGTCCACAGGGGGCTCCCCTGCATACGACGCTCGAAAACCATTTGATTGGAATGCCTTAAAATCTGGCTTTAGTGTGCAGACTACGCAATTCATTTCATTCTTGAGCAAGTTGAGGACTCGAAGAAGTGACCTTCTACAGAAAAGAAGTTTCCTCGACGAGGAGAGCATTGAGTGGCATGGGAGTGACCAATCTCTTCCTAGATGGAACGACCCATCGAACAAATTTCTGGCTATGACTTTGAAGGTACGAGCCAAAGAAGTTGATGAATCAAGCTCTGCCCATGATAAACCTGGACACCTATTTGCTGCCTTCAATGGTGCTGACCATTCAGAGAACGTCGTTCTTCCCCCACCACCTGCACACATGGTTTGGTATTGCCTGGTGGATAGCGCCCTTCCTTTTCCGCGGTTTTTTAGCGAGGAGGGAACTCCCCTTGAGGATGGATCAGCTACATATGAGATGAAGTCTCATAGCTGCCTGCTCTTGGAAGCAAAATGCCTGGTACATAAATAATAATGCTGTAGATGAGTGATGGAAAAAGATTGCAGTATCTGAGACCTAGTGAGAGCAGAAAGTAACGTTCAGCTTAAATAATATGCTTTGCAGTTCGATCATAGATTGTTCAATAGTTCTATTAGTTCTATAGCACAGAGTATTGGTCTTATATATCTATGGCCTATAATATGGCATATACTTCTGGGGTTGGGGTTCAACCTTTTTTTTTGTATGAAAAATGCGCCTCTGAACCGTGGAAGGTATATACACACACCTTACCACAACTCGCTCCAATGATTAAAGACATTATTTTTGAAATGTGAAATGACATAAACACCCTCATACAAACTATACTCTCAATTGGAACAAAGTGTGTGGAGTTACTTATTGATCCAAAATCATCCCTAGGAGTGAAGTGCTATGAAGAACATTTTAGCAAAAGGTGACGAAGAACATGAGATTTGTTGTGGAACTTGAATCTAGGAGGAAACCATAGGCCTTTCTGGCAAAGAGCGTGTTCTCTTTAACTTATTTTTATTACTTATTACATATTTTTATTAGAAACAGTTCAGATCAAATCAAATTAGATTGGATCAGATTAGAAACAACTTTAAATATTATTTCGTAACACATTCAGATCTTACTTGTATATGATTAGCAAGGGCTTCGTTGGATCAAAAGATTGTACCAAAAGATTCTAACCCTTGAACTCCGTACTATTCTTTGTTTTTTTTGAATTTGATCATTCTATTTACTTTTGAGTCTTGTCCTTGTCTGTTGACCCGAACGGAGTGTTTTTTTGTTTAGATGACATGAAAATACTTTGTACTTTCTTGGCATGCTAGTTCATACTTAATATTTAGAATTTTTTTATCAAGTGCAACATGCATTTGTGTAATTATTTTATTTTATGAAAAGAATGTAGGGATAAAAAATTGCTTAGTATATGATGCCTATAAAAAGTATGAACCAAACATGTTACAACATTTTCCATGTACCTAAAGCAAAACTACACATTGTTTTTAAGAGTTCCGGGCAATAGGTAAGGCCAAAAACAAATAAAATGACCAAATTGAACAAACCCGAATAGTAATCCGGACTAAATTGTTTCAATTTTGAGTGTAAGAACTAATTTGCATATTTTTAGGTAATAAATGATACTAAAGATACTTTGGACTTTGGCCTTGTTTAGGAAGAACGTTTTCAATTAACGTTAGCATTTTGGATAAAATATTAACAGGATAGATTAATTCGGAAAAACTAACGCTAAAAGCTACCATCAGATAGTCTTTTTAAAATGCTAACGCTAATCTCTAACATTGATGCCAAACGGGGCGAAATTGTCCATAAATACCTTGATCGGAAATTATAGTACATCATTACTGAAACGAACACTTGAAATTTAAATGTCTCAATTAACTGCTGCTACAAAGTACAAACAGTTGAACCAATCCTAAGTGTAGGTAAAATAAAACTCACTACGCTTGTGTCTATCTACAAAACCATGTTTCAAGCTAAAGGAAAATATACGTCGAAAATTCTCACACAATGATCAGTCCCACACGAAGCCAGTCGCACGGCACCAGAAGCTTCGCCCCTCTCAGAGTCCCTCCATGCTAACCGGTTGACAGTGGAAACGTGGCAAAGAAAAGGATCAAACTTCAAAGCAAGAGCTGGGGTTGGTGGCGAGAAGCTGCCATCTTCAGCTCTTCTTCCACTTTGCAGGCTCCATAACTCGATTTGCCCATTTTCCATCCCCACGGCAAGGAGGCCGTGGTTGTTATGGCGGCTTATGCCAACCCAAGATAGTGCTGTCACACTACTGTTGAATGGAGGCAGAGTGAGGAGTTTTTTCACCGAGGCTTCTTCGTTTTCAACTGCCCAGATTTTTACGGTCTTGTCCCTTGAACCAGTGGCAAATTCATGTCCATATGGGTTCCAAGAACATGCCCATATTATTCGTTTGTGTGCCTCCTGCTTAGTTACAAGCTGGTAACTTGTGTCGTCCGACCCTGTGACAAGATATGTCCAAAAAGCATTATATTTTTTTAGACCATCACAAGTTTTTATATAGACTCAAGCGCGTTGCTCCTCTAACTCCCATGTAAATGGGAAGTTCAAATCAAATAAAATTCCTATATTCTTGAAATAAGAAAGATTTTTTTAAAAAATTGAGAAATGCTAGAAATACCCTCGCTCGCACCACACAAATAAAATAAACACAATTGTGTGAGCATCACAAACTCATCTACTCCACTTGTCCGGATATAAAGTTTCCACTTTCCGTTGTGGGACGTCCCAAAATTATATTCTCATTTTCCTTTAAGAAAAAAATGTGCAGTTTAATATGATTCTCTCCTCTGCACAAAAATCAATCATGCAATTTTTACCTTTCTTAAGATGGGAACTTAATTTAGGGATAGAGGTAGAATATGTTTAAATCTACCTGTATGTTTAATTGAGAACACAGATAAGTGGCGATCCCTTGAAACAGTCAAAAGATACTTGTCATCATGAGAAAACTCCATCTGTGTCACTGTCAAGCTGTGTGAGTGCAGGCGGCCAACTGACTTCCAAGAACCCACTTGCCACAGCCATATTTCAGCAACTGACGCCGATTGAGCCTGAATGAATGAATAACAAGGTCAGAAGTCATAACATTACATTCAAGATTTATAGAGAAAAACAAATCAAAATATATACTGGGAATAAACAATTACTTTTGCTGATGATGGCCGCTTTAATTCTAGTGGTAGAGGTAAGGTTGCATACATCTTAACCTCATCAAACCATACTACCGAGTTGGACATATTGTGTGCGATTGGTTTGGTATTTACTTTGATGATCGATGTGCCCCTTATATCTAGTGCAGTAGAGTATATATATTACACCCTCAGTCCCTTAATAATTTCCCAATTTGCTTAGGCATAGAATTCAGGAAAATGAAAGTAGTGAGCTTGAAATTTAATTAAAAGAGAAACAATGTAAACCAAATGTTGTTTTCTTCAAAAGGAAATGAGTGATTATTTCGGGAAATGAAAGAAGAAAGTCAAAATGTGGAGATCATTTGGCAATGGTGGCAGTAATTTGAGAAAAGCACCTCATATATCAAATTCAGAGTGCTTAACTGGTTAAGTTTAACTTTTACTACATCAATGAAACTTTAAATTATCCATAGTATATTGTATGAGATCATTCGAAACCCCAACCCCGGAGTCAGGGCCTCTCCAAAACAAGCTTTTGCGCATACCCCCATACCCCCCCCCCAAGACCCCATTTGTGGAACTCTAGTGGGTTCATGTTGTAGTTTAGAACCACTGTCAAGTAAATGTGCATAAACAGCACTAATCTCCATGAACATATCATGCTAGCTCTAGATATGTTACATTGCATACCTTGCATGCAGAAGCAACTAGCTTTCCCTCATGATCACAACATAATGAATACAGTTCATTTCCATGACCATACAGTTTGTGTGTCTCTGGCCATAGAGTATGCCAGGCAAGTTGTTCTTCAATGGGTGGTTCAGTTAAGACAATCGGAACCGCTTCTGGGACAGTTTCCATGGTGTCAATACCTTCATTATTGTTTACTTGCTGTGCCTCTGATAAAGCTGCTAAAAACAAAAAGAACCCATGATTAACTCTTAATACACAATGAATATATGCGTTGAATACCTTAATAAAATGACTTTTTAAAATGCACAAATGTATGAGACCATAAGACAAGTTTCAACCCAGGAAGAAGCTCAATTTACAAGGATACAAAAGTTTAGAGAATTATGCAGTATATGTAATCTGAAGTAGGAATATAAACAGCTCAGATATATCACTTAGTTTTTTATTCAAATGCATATAAGATTCAGGTTTTTCTTAAACCATGTGTGAGACGGGCTATACATTTGGTGATTAACTTGCATATCTCTTCATCAGGTCATTTAGAAGTCCTCAACCTTTGCCTGCATTTGTAAAAACCTTAGTACATATGACTTGTATGCCTGGACTTCAATGGTAGTATTGATTTACTTGATTTTAGTGGTAAAGTAGTCAACTAGTCAGTAACCTCTTTAGCTGAGAGCAAATGAATAAAATAGGCTCTTTACTTTCCCGTTTTCTACACCATATGAACCAAGTTCCACAATAAGGTATGTGGTTCCTTTACTCGTGTATCTAATATATTGTGTATAAGGGGTTTTCTCTGTTTGTTTAAGAGAGGATTACTTCTAAGTCTAGTACTCAAGTCATAGGAATGTAGGGTGTAGCTTGGTGGTTCCTATCCCCTTCCCTCAACTCCCACCAAGGTTCAAACCCCACCCCATTAAAAAAATCTCAACTTAAACACATGTACACTTGAAATGCACCCATAGCAGGTGTGCTCGATTGCTCTGCATCATAAAGGGCGAAAGAGACGAATTGGGAAATCTGAATTGAATACTACGTTTGTCCCGTCCGAATATTAAGTTGTGGATGTATGCGCTTATTAATAAACTGAAATTAGGTGGTTGAGATTTATGCAAGGGATAGAGAAATAGTATGAAGCAAGTAGCAAACAAATCTTTTCTTAAAATGAAATAGGGATTTGGGACAGAAAAATATGAATATTTTAGGATGGATGAAGTACAATTTGACAATACAACACATCAAGACACTTCTACGACATCACAAAATACATTAAGTCGAAATTGTACTCAGCCATAACCTTTTTCAAGAAGAATAAAACTTACACTGTGATTGATATATGAGCAAAAACTAACATTCTTAGCATGATCATTCCAAGTAATCACAAACTGATGCAATGCATTGAGTCTAAGTCAGCAAAATAAAGTCAAAATTGTACTAAACCGTAATTTTTTGAAGAAGAATAAAACTTGCACTATGATTGATACATGAGCAAAAACTAACATTTTTCACATGATAATTCCAAGTACTCACAAAGTGATGCAATCCATTGAGTCTAAGTCAGCAAAATAAAGTAAGCCAAAATTGTAGTAAGCCGTAATTTTTTTTGAAGAAGAATAAAACTTACACTGTGATTGATATATGAGCAAAAACTCACATGATCATTCCAAGTGCTTGCAAAGTGATGCAACCCAATGAGTCTAAGTGAGCAATATTTTACATATAGAATGTGCAAGGAGTCTAAGTGAGCAATATTTACGAAACCTCCAAACAAAGTGGTGGGGAAGATAAGCAAGCGAAGAAACTAACAGAAAGTGAATCGAACTTACCTCGAACATATATAGGTTTCTGTGATAAACCTAGAGCAGACATATTTGCACCCAAAATCTGCACTTCAACTTGAAGGTTATCAGAAACTCTACCATTATCTGAAGTAAAAAAATCCAACGTTTTCAGAAATGATAGAGGAGCTTCAAAAACTCTGGCAACTTTTTCATCTGCACCTCCAACAAAACGATGGTTCTGCTTTCCTTGTATCATTGTCACACAATTTATATCATGTCCATGAACCTGTGGTCGAGCGATTTCATGCCATGACTCTCCATTCACAGAACCATTATTGTTGGACCATGGAGCAAATATTCTGGCTGTCTGGCAAAAAGATATATACGGTTCTCAGAATTTTATATAGCATATGGCAATGGAAAAAGATGAGACTGGGGATTGCAAAAACTGTCAAGAACTACACCTGAAAACTTTGAATACTAATAACATAAAAAAGCAAAATCAACCTGAAAAAAAGGTGTGTTCAACACTTCTGCCAAGTACCACCAGATTGGAGGCCATGAGTTTTTTAAAATTCAGAAGATGTGCCAAACATAGAAATACAAGACTTATTTTGAAGCTAAAAGAAGGATTAAAGATACTCTTCTCCAGATGTTTCACAAGCTAGACCTTTTTAAAACAGCTTATTAAGTTCTAGCAGGGCGGGCACAAAAAGTATCCAATGTACTTTAAAAACAAAGAAAAGATTTTCCAACATAGTGTAGATGATCAAGTGGATAATACTTCCAGTCAGAAATGGAAAGGATACTATTTGATGTGAATCCTCTTATAGTTGTAGGGTTAGAGCTTAATCACTACACATTAAAATTAATAGCTGATAAAGCAGTAAATTTGGGTTCCTTTCTCGATCATAGCACATTGAGGGGCAAACCGGAGTACAGATAGTCATATTGAAGAGGCTGGAATTTTGTAATGAATCCTGACTCAGTGATTAATAGAACTAGACAAGGATTTAGAGAAAACTTGTAATGATCAGGCATAAATTCACTACAGCGTAGTATAAAATAATATATGAAAGCCCAAGGACAAAAGAAGTAACTCTATCTAATTCTCCTTGAAAATGATGGAATAATTTACCTGGTCATGACTAACTGATAGAACATACTCCCCACACCTAGCCCACGAGATGTCTGACACTGATGCAAAATGTCCAGAAGTAACTTTTTGTGGCTTCCAATCATCCATATCAACACCGACATTTTTCCATAGATGAAATGACCCCCCATACCCATGAGCTAAAATTGAATTTCCACATGGGCTCCAGTGTCCACCGTAAAATCCCAAGGCACAATGGCTTAACTCTCCAACAGTAACCACATTCATCCAGATGCCAGTTATCTTTTCGGGTTTCCAAATCATCATTGTCTTATCCATTGATGCAGATAAAATGCTTTGAGGTTGATAGCATTCACTTCCCTCATCAGAGGAACTTGATGGTGGTTGCCACTCCACTGAATATGCCCAATCTTCATGTCCAATGAGGAGAGCCTCCATTGAAACCTGATAATACGATGAACCAGCTACAAATGCAGGACCCTTGATGTAAAATTCCAAGCTCATTTCTTGCTTCCTGTGATTCGCTATGACATCCTTTAAAGCCAATTTCCATAAACGAATTCCTTTATCTTGAGATGAACTTACCAGTAGAATACTGGTGTCCCCATTTGTACACATAGGTAATGAGAAATCCAAACTCCGAATCCAATCTGTGTGCGATTTTAGCTCACAAGCAAGAGTGAACTAAGGCATGGCATATAAAAAAATTTCAATTTTGTGAGAGAAGAATGTAGATTGAGCACTGAAAAAAAGAAGAAATCATGCGGAATCACATACTTTTCCGGTCCTCTCGCCACAATACAGATGAATTTTACTGTCCAATCCTCCCATGGCCAAAACCAGGCAGTTGCTCCCAGGCAACTCTGCTAGTGAGAGAGAAACCATAGGCTTCCGACCCACATTAAAAAAATCCAAACACGATAATGAACAGACACCTACGCAAAAGCAATTTAATGTGCAAAGTAATGAGTATTGAGTAATTAAGCATCTCATATGTGATTTGGAAATATATATATATAGAAACGATCAACCAAAGAATATATAATAAGCAAATAGGATGCAATGGATGTTGAACCGAGCTATGTACTCCACTCATTTCATATGCATCTTTCTTTAATATAGATGATAAGCTATAAGACAAGCAAAGTTCGAATTGTCATCCCCCCTCCTTCCCCAAAGGTGGGCTGAGTACAGAGAAAAAAATGATAGTTATGAAAAATAATTTAATACTTTTGTGTGCTTGACATGGCATCCTCACCCCCCCCCCTCCCCCCTCTCCACAAGGAGTGAGATGAGAATGTATGTGTCTTTGTATGTGTCTACCTCACCGAGCTACAGAAAATACAGTTTATTTGGGTACAAAGATCATCAATATAGCCACCTAACATATCAAAGCTTTTAGGGACCAAGGAGATCAAGAATCAAGAATAACAATGAAGCCGACTCGCTAAGCGTAACAGTTGTTCCTCAAATTCTTAGCTTACACACATTTTTAATACTCCCTCTGTCCTAGATTAAACTTCTCGTTTGCTTTTTCACGAAACTTAAGAAAAAGTGGAATCGTGTAGTTGAAATTATGCAAAAGAGAGAAATATATGAACCATTCAATGCTTTCTTTAAAATGAATGGGAAGTTTATTTTGGGACAAACATAAAAATGAAAGTGGGAAGTTTGAGGGAGTACTTCTTTGACTTCCAGTCAATGACACCAATTCCAAGGTAGTTTAAGAAATATATCTACAAAATGAAAAATAATACTCCCTTTGTCCCCCATAGATCTTCCCAATAGCCCTTTTTCTGTGTCCACAATAGATCTTCTCATTTCATTTTTTAACAATTAAAATACCACAACTACCCCCACTTACTTTATTTATTACACCTCACCCACCTCATTTAATACACTTCACTCATTTTCATTAAGGGTATTATGGTAAACTTTCAACTTTTTTCAACTCTCCTTAAAAACCACCAAAAGTCAAAATGAGAACATCTTAGAGGGACGGAGGGAGTGTATATATATATATATATATATATACACATACATACATACATATATATATATATATGGAATTGACTCCAGTGAGATGACACCTTACGGTGAGATGACATGCTACGGTTAGATGACGCAAAGCTCATCACTGCCAACTGCAAAGCTCACCAAGTACAACTACAAAGCTCACCAAATTGTAAGGCAAAGCTCACAATATTTCTTCAACACTTTGAATTTTTTTAAAAAAAATAAAATCAAAGAAAGGGGTGCTGACTATATTTTGACCGTTGACCGCGACTTTTGACCGCCGCTTGCCGTCGCTACACTGCCGCCAGTCTCCGGAAGCCGCCGCTCTGCTGCCGGTTTCCGGAATCCGCCGCTGCTCCGCCTCCGTTTGCCAGAATCTGCCGCCTCTCCGCCGCTTGCCGTCGCCGCTGACCGGGGTTGCTATTTTATCTTTTATTAATTTTTAATTTTTAAAATTTAAAAAAAAGGTGAGTTTTGGTGTTCAAAGTGGTGAGCTTTACTTTATTTCTAAGTGAGCTTTGCATTGTCTAATGGTGAGCTTTGTAGTGTAATGTGGTGAGCTTTGCGTCATCTCACCGAAGCATGTCATCTCACTGGAGTCAATCCCATATATATATATATATATATATATATATATATATATATATGAATGGGATAATATATGTTAAGCTGCTTGAGATTGCAATGCTCGTACATCCACACAAAAAAATTCTTAGATTCCAAGAAAGCACTTATATGAGTAATACTTCAGAAATAAAACCATGTAAATCACATATGAACTTAAGCAGGAAACTTGCCTCCATACGTAGATGGCAGGATCAATTCCCACACATTTACAGTACCATCTGAAGATGTGGAGGCAAAAACTGACTCGTGATGAGATACCAATATTCCAGTAATGCATGTAACACCCTTCTTGTGGGATTGTGGCAGTTGTAACACATACCTCCACTGTTAAGAGCATGCCAAAGAAATGAGATCGTCTCATCAATGACTAAATGGCAATTGAAAATTTGCATAATTGACATTTTGATTATATGATTGTCACAGCATGAGTTATGGGAAAGCCTCATTCATTAGAATAGGGAAATTTTAACTGCCAACAACAATGAACAATTAGAAAGTTGTTATGTGTGCAACCAAAAATGAAAAGAGAAGACATTGCACTGGAGAAAGAGATATCAAAACATGATCTTAATTCCTCTTCATATGCTCTTCTCCGCAGTCCGCAACATAATCTCAATTACTCTTTATATGCTTATCAAAATCTGATATAGTACTCTATGTCCTCGTTTTTATTTAAATCGTGGTATTGAAATCAAATTGCCACATATGCCCCCATTTTATCTTCAACTTTGCAAGCACCAATAAAGCTGTGGTGTGTAGCATTTTACAACTAGAGTAGAAGAAGTTAAAACTCAGAGGTCCCCTGACAGTTCCAACTGGGATGGTTGCGGTACTATGTTGATATGAACACTAAAAAAGAGTCGGGAATTTAACAGTACACAGGGCTAGAGCTACTAATCCTACTATGCTGGCCATTAATTCTTGCTGAATGAAGGAAGAATGGCCTGAGAAAGAGGCAATGACACCGTGTAAAAAGAAGGGAGAAAGTTTAAAAAATGAGTTCAAATGTTCAATACTGTTGATAGGTTATACCAGATGAACAAAAGAGTACCTCATGTATACATATTATCTATGGTTAAAGATTGCTAATCTGATCTGACCTACGCTAAGCCCATTAACGTTAGGGTAATTATTCTACATTTATATTCTATAAGAAAAAAATACTTTTATAAATAATTTATAGGGTTAAATGTAAATAGTGGTTGAAACATTTCTATCCCTGAAATATTTTCTGGGTTCTCAACCCTGCCAATAATGGCAGACAGTATACTGAAGAAAAGTACCTTCTTCTCGAAAAGAGAAAATTCCCACAAAAGAATAACACCATCTGCATCTCCCGATAGCAAAAAGTGTTTCTCCAACTGCCTAGCTGCATTCACGACACAACAAGCACATCTGAATACATAATATCTCCAAAATCATTTGCTAAAGCTAAAAAAGACAGGCTAAAATAAGTGCTGGCGGAAAGCAAAGATGGAACCTTTGAAAGCAAACTTGCTGCTAGGAATCCAATGGGTACAATTCACAGAGGCCTTGTGACCCGGAAGGGTAGTTAATATCTGCGCTGACTGCAAGAACAACCGAAACCCTTAATAGCTTCAAAAGTAGAACTGTAATATTAATGTAGCGTAATGGGACAAAATAGAATTCACATTGACAGCCCAAGATTGGTAGGTTATATACTCAGAGATGGGAATTGAAAAAAGTGAGAAAAACCTCGGGACAGAAAATAGCAACAGCATTTTGAGCACCAAAAGAGACCAATCCGGAGGCACCCCATGAAACGTTGTTCACTATTCTGTTGCAGCCAGCTCCGATGAAGATTCTTTCCACTCTGACTTGCGTCCCGTCGCTGGTGACCGACGCCATTGAACTTCTATCTAGCTATAAATACTCTCTATATCCGGCAGAGAGAGAGAGAGAGAGAGAGAGAGAGAGAGAGAGGACTTGGGGTTCAACTGTTCAAAGTTTAGGGAACTGGCGGAAGAAGTGCGTCTAGGAGACGAATTGAGGAAAGGAATCAGAGCTCCCAAGTCCAAAAAGTCCCAAATGCGTCCGTCCGGGTTTGGTCAGTTCTAATTAGAGTTACTTCAGATTCCTATTGCTTCGAATTCGGATTACTTTGAATTCGGGTTTGGATTGAGAAATACGGAGTACTCCCTTTCGTTGTCTATTCTAAAGCGTTCTTTTCATTTCTGTTTATGAACTTTGACTGAATTTCTTTTCAAATCAATTCATCTTATTATAGGTATAAAAATATAAAATAAAATTATATATTTAAAAAACTACATCTAAAACTCTACAAAACAAAAAATGACAAGACTATATTATTTTATCAAATAACTAACAAACATAGGTAAAGAAAGTTATTATGTTTGACCATGTGAATAGTAACAAGAAAAAACGTTTCATGACCCCGTGACATCAGGTTTGAGTTGATCCAACATGTTATTACTTTGGTTTTAAAATTTTTAAATTCATTTTAACACCTGCATTTCACATTAAATAAAATTAAAATATCAAAAAATATGCATTAAATCTATTATATTATTTTATTTTAAATGAGTAATTTTTAGGTATTTATATCAATATAAAGAATTAAAAAGATGCCTAATTTTTGGAAAAAATAAGATGATTGTGCAATAATCTCAAAATTTTGTCCGAAAGTATAAATTTATTCACTAAAAAGGAGTAGTAAGAAAAAATATATAATTACAACCCTATTTTTATAACATGATATTTCATAGTAAAGTATATGACTTTGAAAAACTCTTACATTAGCGGTTCGGATAGGTCGGATTCAGTCGGGTTTGACCCATTTTAAGCGAGTCATTTTGGGTTCGGTCAACTTCGCGTTCGGTCAACAAAACATTTATTTAGAACCCAGTATTTTTTGTTCGGGTCATTTTTTGTGAAGTGTAAAAGTAGTACTTCACAGGGGTGGGTATGAAACATATTTGTTGGCTAGTATTATATACATAAGGGTAGTGATAACCACACCCGCTAAAATACTAAATAGAATCTGTTAACTAAATTCTCCCCGTGATGCATAATTTTAAAAACCTTATATAAATTTACTTAATGAAAAGAAAATTATATAATGTTTTAAAACCATCCACCATTTATTTTATTTTATTTTATTACTTTTCAAAAAAATATACAAATTTTAAATTTAAAACTTTGGTAATATTATTTTTTCATTATTTAATATAACTTTCATTTATTTACATTCAGATACCATTAACTTTGTATAAATCTTTCCGCTTTCTAATTATTACTATACAATATGCATTTTACCGGCTTATTTTTATAATAATGAATTAATTTAATTATAGAAAAATAAAAAAATCCAAATTTTTATAATTAAAATTGAATATATATACATATATATTTAAAAATAATAAAATGAAATAAATGAAGAATATTTATAATTTTTTTATTATAATCTTATTTTTAAAATAATGATTGTGTATAAATTTTTAAATAAAAACATAATTATGCGGAGTGTATTTAGTTAACGGGTGAATTTAATGATTTACCGGGTGTGACTATGACTACCCTATATATAAATGGGTTGTGTTGTTTCCCATACGCTAATAATAAATTATTTTATTATTAAAAATAGTAAATATTATCCTCAATAATTCCAACTTTACTCGATCTCTCAAAAAATATTCTCATGTTTCATTGTGATGCATAATAATTCTAATTTTACTGGAATTTGCGAGTTTTGGCTCACCGTTAAGTAGCTAGCAATAGGTTAACGAAAATGAGATGTTTTGTGCAATAGAATGAAAGTTGGGATTATTTTTTATAAACTTTTGTTTTTTACTTTTTTTTTTTGAAATTTTCATTTAAGTTTTTAAAATAACTTTGTACATCCATTTCTTTTTCTTTTTTTAAACACTAGTCTTAGCTTAGAAAAAATCATTATATATATATATATATATATATATATATATATATATATATATTGGTTTAGGTGAGAATGTAATCTTATGAAAGAAATAAGAATGAATCTGGTGCTTTAGATTGTGAGATCTAAGGGTCAGGATTGCATCAAAATTAGGTGCACTAAAATGGTTTGAAAGTGCATCATGTCGAAATGCACCAAAATCCTTTGAAAATGCACCATCTCAAAATCTGAACGCAGGATGCAATCTGAGCCGCACGATGCATCAGATCCAAAGGCTAGATTTTATTCTTATTTCTTTCAACAAGGTCCCTTTCAATAGTTTTATATATATATATATATATATATATATATATATATATATATATAAAGAAAATGATAAAAAATAACTAAAATCATACAAAATTAATGAAATAAATAATGTAAAAAATAGAAATTAAACTAAAACTAGTAAGAAATAAAATAAAGACATAAAGAGTGCTGGGTTCTAACATTTTATGACTATGTAGAGTATTAATATACCATTTCTTATTTTCTGAAAGAACAAATTAAGTTGTGATTGTCTAGATAATTTTTCCTGAAAATGAAAAGAAGTGGTACATTAATACTCTGAACAATGTGTAAAATATTAAAACCCACTACTTCGTATATTTTTATTTTATTTTTTACCAATTTCATGTTATTTTCTATTGATTACCTTATTTATTTCATTATTTTTGTATGGTTTTAGTTATTTTTCTTATTTTCACTATTTTTATATCTATTTTTTTGTTTTTATCCAAAGTTAGACTAATCTTTAAAAAAGAAAAAGAAATGATGGAGGTAGACAGTTATTTTAAAATTTTAAATGAGAATTTAAAAAAATTAAAAGACAAAAATTCATAAAAAATAATCCAAACTTTCATTTTGTTACGCAAAAAAGGCCGTTTCGGCACTCAATCATGGATGCTAAAAATTGTAACATTCACGGAGTGTGCTTGAAGTATAATCAACATTTCTTGTTTTCCAAGTTCGGCTAAAAATCAATAATCGTGATAGCAAAGGAGTGTCTCGAACGATTCGGCACTCAATCATGGATGCTAATCTATCAACGTGTTTCCACTTTCTTTAGAAGCCCTCCCTAGCAAAGGGGTGCTATTCATAGAGCAAAAAAAGAAGCCCCCCCCCCGCCCCGCCTAGGTCAAACAGCGATAAATCTATAATGTCTTGTTTTGTTTGAATCGATAAACTTTTGTCCAAAACCCATCCCAAAGCAGTTTAAAGTTGAACATGACTAAGAATAAAAATTTATCTTATTCCATCCCATTTACTTGTAGTTCTCTTTTTTCTCCTTAAATGTACAGACAGAGTATATGTATTTGTATAATAATATAATTATAATAACTATTACAGTGTTGCTCTATCTCCCCTAAATGGCAGAAGAATTGTTTCACTATGCGTCATTATTAAGAATGTATGGAGTATAAACTTATACGGAGTACTATATTGCAATAAAGTCGATAACACTTAAAAACAATAATTGGTCAAACTAGCTCGCAGGCTTGAAACATAAAACCCAAGCCCGTCTCTCAAGTTTACAGCCCGAGCCAACCTGCACACCAAACATCTAAGCTCAAGCTTGCGTTTCGCATTTATTTTTTTCACACATCAGCCTTCCACGCGTCAACTCCAGAGACCATCCGTTCGGCCATTTTCCTTCACGGAAAATTCCTAGGTTTCCTTTCTGCAATTCGGCGAAGAAGGAAGGAACACATGAACTTCCAGATTTCATACAACTATTGTCCTAAGCGCCTCTAATTTTATCTTTGAAGGAAGAAGTAGCGCAGCGCCTAGATAGCCACGTCAGGTTTTGTCCCTAGAGGTTTAATCCATACAAAGCTTAATAACTAAGAAAAAACATAATATGTATATGTATAATCAAACTAAATCTGGGATTTAGATTACTTTCTTTCCAAAGAAATCAAATCATACGGGTCAGTATGTTAGCAAAATAATTTATAATTTAAGGTTCCACTAATAATTTATTTGGTTTGTTTCATTTCTATTGGGAATTTTGATTAATTGATTCCAGTTGCTTTCTCTTCCCCTGTAGCATATGATTGGTAAAAGTTGGGAACAAATTTCTGGCAGCGGGAAAAAAATTAAAAATATAATACCTCGAGGATGGCAGAATCAGTGTTTTGTCAATTCTTAGCAAAAGAGAAAATCATCATCTATTCAATACTAAAGAGTTTTTATCTTTTATGTAACCTTAACAAACACAGATTGTTCAATTACTCATCTTGGGATAATATGTTCATTCCATCTGTGCTTTTATACATGGAAGAAACAGGTCTAAGTTCTTATTTGTGGAGTATACTTTTGAATCTTACTTTATTAATAACTCCGTACAGGATTTAAGTGTGGTATGATGAGTCTGGTGCAAATGCAGCCGCGGAATCACCAATAGAAGATACTACCTACTTCTAATACGTACTTATTGTTGCAAGATCTAATACGTGCATCTTTAATTGTTTGTCTTTACTGTCTTCACATCGAAATACAAGTTTGAACTCAACGATGCATCTTTAAATGTTTTAATAGTTTTTATTCATTCATACTGTGTTAAACTATAGAATGAAACCAAAAACTATGTGTTTAATCTATCGTATTTTCTATACTTTGTAGGAGATAAAGTTACATATGAACCTTTCCAAGGCTTTGAAGTCATTCTTTGTGTGGGAGAGACGCCTGAATCATGAGCTACAATGAAAATACTTGCTGCACTAACAAGTTGCAATATGTGGTACATATCTGATTCTTAAAATGCATTCAAATTTGAAAATATCATTATATAGCAGTGACTATTTGTGTACTTGGACTCAACTAAAGTTTGACTTTGTAATTTATTCCAGTTACAACACCTACTTTTTGAGCATTCTTTAAGTTTTCTTTTCATAAAAGGTATTAAATTTGTCCAACATTCTTTAAGCATACGAACCTGATTGGGCTATCAGTAGTAGAAAGGTGGCCACACCCGCTCAAGTTCAAGAGGTATCATGAAAACCGTTATTAGTTACTCCTCTCTTATCAAGATTCCAGGTTTGACATGCCATGTTTTT